CACGCCTTGCTGCCTTTAAGACCAATAGAGGGTGTTAGCTTCTTCCAGCTGCTGCCTCACTATCTGTCCTCTCCATCGGAGCCAGTTCCCCTTTCTCTCTTTGGGTTTGAAGAGAAGTGACACTTGTGAGGCCAAACTGTCTTCACAGCTTCGATTCCACATGTCGAGTTAAAAAGCCAAGTCATTCATTACAACAGCACAGCTTAGCTGCTTCTCTATTCCCAAGTACAAAATGTTCAAGGCATTCGTCTTCTGGGTAGTTTCTGATGCTGAGGAGATAAACTGTGACTAAAGCAGATCTAGTTCTGGTTCATGTAAATGTCAGACTCCTTTTTTGCAAACTTTACATGTTATAGACTTAAAATAGCCAGAACATCTCATTTTCAACTTACACCCCAAAAGGTTTAGAAGTCAGAGTCAATATATTATCAGATAATTGTCTGGTTTTTAGTGACATCTACTGACTGGCTCTTGGGATTTAGTTAATAAAATCTCCACTAATGTATTTCCTTAAGGTTCTTGAGCTATTGTCGGTGCTTGGGCTGGCTCTAACAGGCAAAACGAAGAGTTAAGACGAGTAAAGAGTAGTTGAGGGACCTTCCAGTACAAAGTTAAACAGATGGACAATGACCTAAAAGTTACCACAGCATCTCTCTGATGTGTTCCAGCAAACCTAACCAAACCGTTTTCAAGTTTCAAGTTGAGGAACTCTTGGCCCGCTTTGGTACTTTGACATCTCATGAATAATTTTACCTGTACATGCCAGCACATGAAGCTTTAAAAAAAATAACGTTTTCTCAAACCTTTACATGAGTTTGAAAGAGTTCATATAATACAAGCTGCCCAGCAGGGCAAACAAACTACGAATTATTCTTTAGCCATTACTATGATTTAAACTGACGGCAGCTATGTCCATGTTGAAATGAGAGTTGGAGAGAAAGTTGTTTTACTGTTGTGGATTTCTGGCTTCAAGTGGCCATCTTGCTTACTTGTTCGAAGTGGGATTTGCATATTTTCACTTTGAAGAAAACTAAAATAAATTTTAAAAAGTGCCTTGTTTTTCTTTGATTCTTTATTTGTTCTTTATTATTTACAAAAGCAAACAAAACAAAAGCACTATAGACATGTCCTTGGAGGTCTTACCATGTTGTGGCTCACATACATGCATGGGATATGGCAAACTGTTATTGGGCCCTGGATGAAGGATTGGGAAATTATATTTCCAGGTAGTAAACTCTGATCTATCAAGACATTTCCAAAGCTTTAAGGGACAATCCTGGAACCCCCAGCTCATGTTTCCTCGATTCCAGTCCTCAAAGTCCAGTGTCCTGCCCCTTTTAGATGTGCCTCTGCTTCCCCACACCTGAATCAAATGATCAAATTACCTCCTCAGTGAGCAAATGCTGATGACCTGATGATTTGACTCAGGGGCATGGGAGCAGAAAGACATCTAAAATGTGCTGGACAATGGATCTCGAGGACTTGGTTTGCAGAAACCCTGGCCTTATTAAATATCAATGCAAGCCAGTTATTGATTTCCAATTAGGCATTATCAGTCTTTAAATTATTTTTCTACCTTTTATTTACCCCTTTTTATTATTAAAAGCTAGGTTTAACACATTCCAAATACTATATATATAAAATACAAGATTAAATTTGGTTCTCGAATGTTAAATCAATGCTGAATGATGATATTATGGCAGCATTTTAAAAGTAGTTGTTCACCAGTTTTTTTTGTTTTTTTTTAAAGGGACAATGCATAATAAATATGTGAATATGCCAGATTATAGCCTACAGCTAATTTCCATCTATAGTCCCTTCAGTAGTTTAAGTCAACAACGAAGAATATTAAAATTAATTAAACAACTGTAGCAACAAACAGAACAGTAAGCCATCATTTCTTGGAGAATTTATTTATAAAGATAAGTTTCTTGAAAACAATGGGACAAAAAAAAAATGAAAAAATATATTGAATTAAAAAAACACATACGATATGTATTTTGCGAGTGTTAAAAACTAAAATTAGATATCATGTTTTTCTATTTTCTTTTCCTTCTAAATGTACATAGTACTCAGTTTCGTTTGGTTAGCTTAGTTAAGATCTTTTAACTGAAATATGTTTGACATTTTTGTTTATAAATTCTTGTTTTTTGTATTTAAGTTGTGAATTTATTCCAAAATGTGTGCAGTTAACTGTACCATGATTTGATCTCGAATCCCCCTTTCATCTGTTGTCCGAACACACAGCCTTCATGGAACAACCCATGACAACCCAAAAGTTCATTCCATATTTAATGACATAAATGCATATAATTGGAAAATAGTACTAAGTGACGCAGTGCCTGTTAAATGTCTGAGTATAACAGCCTTAAAAGATAAAACACAGATAAGCTCCTAACCATTTTATGCAAGTTTCACTTTTTTATATATTTTTTAATTATTTATTCATTTGTAACAGTTGAGTATGGTATTAACAACGTTTTTTTTATTATTATTTTGCAAATTGAATGCCTCTCCAAAAGTAATGAAGAATATTATAAAGAAGGTGTATACTACTCATAGACTAGGAATGTATTTGACTATTTTTGTTTTTTTTTTGCATAGAAGCACAAAAATGCCACATTAAAAAAGAAAAAATATTAATTGAATACTTATTTAAAAGAAAATGATATATTCCTGTTTATTATTGTACAGATAAGAAATGTTTAATAAAATATTCTGTTCACGAAAGGCATATATAATTGTTTCGAAATCTATAATGACTGTGAAGGCTGCTACCCTTCCTGAATTTATTCTATCGCTGATAGATCAGAGATTTTATCAGTGAGCTTTAACCATCATGGCTTAACGGTTACACTACAGCTGTTCAACTCATGCCCTGCAAGAACACATTTATTTTGCAGAGCATGCTGATAATTGTTTGGGGTTTATTCGGGTTGGATGGTGCTTATTTCAGCCTCACACCATTTCATCTGTTTGTAATATTGGTATACATTCACCACTGTAAGACCATGTTTCAAATTATGCCAACCATTAAGAAGTTTCATATCTGCTTCGAGAACAAACACTTTGATATCATAGTTTTATAATCTACTCAGAGTCTACAGTAATGTATGGTTTCACGGCTCCTCTGATAATATCTCTTTGCTAGTCTTTTTGTCTATTCAAGGGTCACAGTATGTCAATTTGATGTGTTGACTGGACATAAATGGGGATCAGAATCAAAATAAAAGAAATCCAAAGGTATTAAAAAATAATATACAAAAATTCTAATTAAACGTCACGTTTTTTTTTCTATGTGTATGAAGTTGGTTGCAAATGTATAAAGTAGTGAAGTGACAAAATAGCATTTAAAATTAATGGTGGTGGTTTTTATTTATTCCACCACTATTACAGAAACCCCTAAGGGAACTATTTTCTTGAAAATCAAATGAGTAAAACTATAAGCTATTGCTATACATGGTTTTAAACTATACTAAATTTGTTTTTTAAGCTTTCTTGTTTAAAAAAAAACAGACATTTTGCAGGATATTTAGATGACCACAAAGCTAATTTTATGTTAAATATTGTGAATATTTTCGCTTCATTTTCAAAATATTACATTTGATTCTGTACATATTTTGCAAAACCTGTAATTATTTTAACCATATTTATTTATTCCCAAATTCATTTACATTGTATGTCAGATAGAGCTGCTCAGTGGGGCAGTAAGTAGCACTGCTGCCTTGCAGCAAGAAGGTTGTAGTTCGATTCCCCAGGTCTTTCTGCATGGAGTTTGCATGTTCTCCCTGAGCATGCGTGGGTTTTCTCCGGGCACTCCAACCCTGCGACCCCACTTGGGATTAAGTGTGTCAGAAAATGGATAGATGGATGTAAAATATGATCCTTAAATAGCAGATGTGGGTTGGGTGTTAGTGTTAAGTGTCAAGTAATTAAGCATTAGTACTTATTTGAGTAGCAATTTCTAGTTTCTGTGCTTGATTGTTTATTTTTCTAATGACTTAACTTTTAATCCCAACATTGATACACAAATATCTGCAGTACCTACACCTTACCTAGCTATTTACTCATCCAGTTTATGTCTTTATATGTCCATTTAATAAAAAAAAACCAGTAATAGTGACAGGGGAGATGAGATGGGGCTGGGAAACGTTGCAGATAACGGATGCAAGATGTTTCCCATCTATTCTCTTTTTATGAGATTTTACATTTGCATGCTGATCATGTTTCAAGCTCTACTTACATTTGAATATTTGCAGCATTATGCTGTGAAAAACAGAGCATTGAGATAAATTAAACTTTTATACTACACCTCTGTTCAGATTAGTCTACATTATCTTGTTTGAAATTTTATTTAAGACTGAGCCAGCAGTATTTTGTCTATACCAACATACTCCGCAAAACATGAAAATTAACCCATTTTTGTGCATATAACTCTTTTTTTAAGAATAGTTTATAAAAGTTATTTTAAGGCAAACACTTCATTTTACATTTTTACTTAAGTACCCTATGATGTAGAAGCAGTACTTTTTTTTTTACTTTAGTAAATTAGTTCAGTCGGTAATTTTAACTTTACATAGTCTCTTTTTTACTTAAGAAAAGAATGAGTATATTTGACACCTCGGGTAAATATTAAAGTCATTCCTATGGTGGTTCCTGCATTTATTTCAAATACCAGCAGATGGCGCTGTTTCCTCAGAATTGATTAACTGAAGCAGATAACGTTTTTGGTGCTTGAGCTCCATTATTATATATATAAATGATGATGAAGTGCATTATTTTATTAAATAAAAAGACAAAACCTGTAAGAGGTTAATTGTGGTGATCTAGAAAATGGATTTTGGCTCAGTCTGAAGAGATCAGCACTGAGCATGCGCACTGCATCGCTTCTGGGGCGACATCGCGGAGGAAACGTAGAGGCAGCGAAGCAGCGCATTTTTTATACGCCGAGATTTGGTTTCACCGCTGCGGCAGAGAAAAAAAAAAAAAAAAAAAAAAAACCACAGACAAACCCCCCCCCCCCCCCCCCCCCCAAAAAAAAAAAAAAAACAGCTCGTCCTACGCAGCAAGCGACTACACCAGATGCTGCGTTAATGTGTCGGACGTTTACCTGACAGGCCTGGCCGAGGTCTGAGCCGTTACCCACGGGGAGACATTTATTTCTTCATATGGGAGAAGCATGCGGGAGATGGTCGGAGGCTGCTGCGTGTGTTCAGACGAGCGGGGCTGGGCGGAGAACCCGCTGGTGTACTGCGACGGACACGGCTGCAGCGTCGCCGTTCACCAAGGTAACGTTTAGCCGCCGTTAGCTTGTAATTAGCGGGCAGCTGTGGCGGCTGTGCCCCGGCTGGCTGCGCTCAGAGGACGGCAGGTCTCTGAGGTGGGCTTGTCGCTTCTTACGTGCGTTGGATTGGTGGGAGGGGAAGGGATGGAGGAGGCAGGCGGCGTGCTGTTTGTTATGAACGCTAGGGCCGAGGCTCTGCTGCTGAAACAGGAAGGATGGACTCGGTACGTGTCACTCGCAACCAGTTTAGACCCGATGAGACCCAGCTTAGACACCTGCTTTGTTTTATTACATATAATAACACAGGGCTGTCAACTCTCACCCATTGGGAGTGCGACTCACCCAATCTCAGTGTCTTCACTCTCACACCATATTCCCAATTCCTCACACTAAAAAATGACAGACATTAAAACTCAACTCAGTCTAGTTTAATAATCTCCAGTTGGAATTTAGGAGTAATTAAACCAACATTAATATTTTAATTCTTAAAGCTTCCTGGTTTGCCTCTCAAACCCATAGGAGCTCCACAAAAGAAAAAGAATCATTGCATTTTATTTTTCAAAAGCCACCAATGAAAAAAAACAGCTGCATCCAGAGAGGATTTGCAGAACAACTCAGTTATCCTGGATCTATAGAGGAGAAACCACAGGGATGTTCTCATTTTATTATTACTTATCATATTCATTTATTATTATTTTGGTCCATTGAATATGTTTAAAAAATTTATTTCCATCACATTTTCCAAACTCAAAACATCCAGAGAAGTGTTGTCTCCTTTCATGGTGAGTTTTAAGCTGTTTTGCAATTGTAAGAAAAACTAATAACATAATGAATGAAGGTTTTCCAGCCTTAGCCTATTACCAAATATCCATGTGTAGTTTGCAGGGGATTCGATTGCACTGGTTCCTGTATCAGTGTCAGTAATCCAGTAATAGCTTATTAGTTCCCCATTGTTAATTTACTTGAACTGCAGAGAACAATTAATGAGCAAAGTTCTGAAATTCTTAGTTTAAAGTATATTTAAGATGCAGGTATTTTAGTAGGGCCCATTCTGCTTCAATTCTGTAAAAATCACCAGAATGTAGAAAATAATGTATATTGTGAGAGAAATGTTCTACATAACTATGGATCACTTATTATTATTTGGTAACATTTACTGTTTTATAAAAAAAAATCCACATTTTACCGCTTTGTTTCCGTTAAATCCTCTGAAAACCTCCAACTGCTGCACCTGTCCTCATATCACCCTGACAGGATTTCCTTTCCAAACTATTTCAAAATCTCACACCAAGATTTGGTGAAAAGTTGGCAGCCCTGTATTTATGTATATTTATGTATATATATATATATATATATATATATATATATATATATATATATATATATATATATATATATATATATATATATAAATTTGATGTCCCTCATTTATTAAAAATAGGGCTGCAACTAAGGATTATTTTGCAAATCGATTAATCTACACTTAATCTGAATTTGACTTGGCTTGAGCTGTTCTTAAAGAAAATATCTTAAAAACTCAAGTGTTATAAATACTTTGGCAAGGCCCTATAAGAAACATGTGTGGACAAAATAGTTGGTACCTCTCGTTCAATGAAAGAAAAACCCCACAAAGCACACAGAAATAACAGGAATGAGACAGAAGTAATAATTAATATAAATTCTATTAAAATGAACAAGGTATAGTCAGACCTTGATTTTCAAACATTTGTCAATGTGCAGTGGCAGTCACAGGAACATCAAGCTGCTTGGAGGGTAAGCCCATTATTTTCTTTCTTATCTCCTGAGACGACTTTTTCCTTAATTTCTTCTGGTCCATGTTGAGTGTGATACACACCATGTCACCAAACAGCACAGTAACAACCTGTCCACTGACTGATTACAATACAACATTGTAGACACCTGTGATGCTAATTAGTGGACACATATTGATTTAACCTCCCAAAACATGTTTTAAAACACTGGAAAAATGTTTACCGATATAGAAATGTTAGACATCATTGGACAGCTTATATTTTCCACAATTCAACCACCTAGTTCATTTTATGGACACAGTGATCACCAAAGCACAATTAACACAGATATAGCAGCATGTCAAAATGTACAATGACAAAGCAGCCACAACAAGCAAGCATGAATTTATTATCGCTGTTCAAAAATACCTATTATTTTCAAGAACGAAAAAATAACTTTGAGTCATGTTTGAACTGATGAAGCTTGGGTTTTTTACTCAACCAATTTTCATGTATATATACTGAAACTAGAAGGTGTTAGCTTTCAAATAATGTATCACGTAATTTGGGCTTACAGTTCCTAAGTTATTTTCTTTTCTAATTGGGTAAGCAAAATAGGCGAATTTCCCAAAATGAGGTGGATATTAAGAGGATAACATGTCCCTTTAGTCAAATTGTTTCCAGCCTTTTCTAGGGGTAAAATAATTTTTTTTCAGACCTGCCTCATTAGTTTTTTTTTTCTTTTTTGAAAATTGAAAATCAGTTATTAGGTTGAAAAACAATGGCTGACTTTCATTTGTTCATTTTCATAGATTTTTTATTTATTATTGTATTGTCATATTTAAGTTTTGCCTGTCACACTTGTGGGTTCTCCTTTGTTTTGAAAGAGGGATACCAACAGTTTGCTGATGAAGATTCTCAGTCATCCAGGTCATAGTCATTCTGTAAAAGTTTAGAAAAAACGATCCACTGGACTTGGTTCCCAAGACGTTTCGCTCCCACTCCAGGAAGCTCTTTAAATTCAAATGTCTGTTGGGATACCAACAGTTTGGTGCGTGTGTGTAAATGGAGTTCTGTTTCTGAAATGACAAAGAGGCTTTTTAGATTTTTTTGTGATGACAGATGAGTTTAATAGTAAAACAGCTTTAAAGTTCAAAGCTGAGTTGAAAGCTCCCTATAAAGATGAATGGGATGTTTATGAGGACTGCTAAAACCAAACTATAGCTGAAGAAGAAGCAGGTCTTCTCTTCTAGATGGGGAAAAAAACTGAAGCAGCAAAGCAGAAATTTATTGAATACTATAAATTGAAAACAGGAGTGGTGAAAGCTCTTTATCTTTTAGCTTATTTTTTTCACTATACTGACATATTTTATTAGACATATTTCTTTTTAAACTATTCAACCCATATAGGATTTTATGCAAGCTTCGAAGCAGTTGTGTAACAAGAAGTATTGTTTTGTTTTTTTAATTTAGTTCAACTTTAGGTTGTTAACAGAAGTTGAAGCCTGTATAATAATGTGTTATTATTATTGTTTTAGATTTGTCGCACCCTTTTGGGTGTTTGTTGGGATAACTGTGGTGTAGTAGGAGCAGGACTGATGGGGCAGTTATGATGAGATAAACAATTTCTTTCTTTGGTTTATTTTTGCTTACCGATCATTTGTCTTTGTTTTTTGTTTGATCTATTGCTGATCATCTGCAGCCTAAAACATGCAACGTTTTAAAAATAAGAAAGAAATGTATCCTTGTGTGCTATTAAGAAGCTGGACAATATTTCAAATCACAGTCAGGATTTGATATTTTAGAAGCTAAGAAGTTTCTGGTTTCATGCATTCGAACCCTGAAAGCCAATTTTATTTTTTTACAAAGTTATATAGACATCTTTTTCCTGACATCTAAAAGTAATCTCACTTGATGTCAAAGCTCTGCTAGATATTTGCAAACTGAAATGATTAAAACAGAAGAAGAGTTTATTCAATTCAATTCATTTTATTTATATAGCGCCAATTCACAACACATGTCATCTCAAGGCACTTTACAGTTCACAAGAGTTGATATAATCAGCAGTCATATTGAAATCTCTTGTGATAGAGAATGTTTAAGATGTGTCACGGATTGTCTTTTTATATGCACATATCATTCTTTTTCTTTGCCAACATGAGGTCATGGTTGAAGAGGAATTGCTTATCTGCTGCACTAGCAGGAGAGTTACTCTTTTTTTTACCTGATCAGATAACAAAAGTTGTCAGCTGCACTTTTGTAATTTCAATAGATGTAATCCAGATCCAGATGTAATCTGCAGGTCTTGCTTCTCTGAAATTATTTGGTGGAATAAGATCATACCTATGTTTTGGGAGGAATATATTTTAACAGGAAAAGTTCTTGCATGTTTGGGATTTAATTTTTTTCAAAACCAAAATGTAAATTTTTATGGCTGGTTTTGTTTGTTTGCCTGTCCCAGCATGCTATGGCATTGTCCAGGTTCCCACCGGCCCATGGTTCTGCAGGAAATGTGAATCTCAGGAACGAGCAGCACGAGTAGTGAGTATGCCAACATCTTTGTCTCTCTCTTTTTTATTGATGATGAGAAACTTTCCTCTTAAAACTAGCTCTACTTCCTTTTTTTGCCTCAGAGATGTGAGCTGTGTCCCCATAAGGATGGAGCCCTTAAAAGGACAGACAGTGGTGGTAAGTCTCTGCCTGCCTTAATTGTCCTGATGTTCCTCTGAGATCTCCATCTTTACCCTAAAAGAGAGTAAAGATGTTCTTAAAGAACCTTGTCATCTTCCTTTAATCTCTCTGCTGATTAGGCTGGGCCCATGTTGTGTGCGCGCTCTACATCCCAGAGGTTCAGTTTGCCAACGTTCTCACCATGGAGCCCATCATCCTACAGTATGTCCCACATGAGAGATATCTGAAGGTATAAACACTCTCATTTAAGTAGAAAACATGTTGTAATATTATAATAATGAACAGGTGTCATTTGATGGTGTAGGATCTCTACTCAGTATATATATATATATATATATATATATATATATATATATATATATATATATATATATATTAGGGATGGAACGGTTCACAAAATCCACGGTTTTTGGTTCGGTTTGGTATATGTTGATTGTTAGCCTGACATGTTGGTCGTGTTGCTCTTAGCATAAACAAAACGTGTTGCACAATGCTTGCACACTGTTTTTATTTACAACTTTCTTTCCGCCGTCATCGTAGGTCACTCTAAATGCAAAGTGGTCCCATACAGCAGATGTATAAAGTGCTGCTGGTGCGTCTTCCAACTCCTTTTCTTTCTCACTAGCCATACCCACACAATTCTCCACAACAACTGTTTTATTTTCTGCTACACCCGGCTACGCTGTTTGGCTTCTTCTTCTTGTTTACTACTGGTGGTTGGCTTTGGTCGCAGTACCGCCATCTTCTGCTCTGGAGTGTAAACGCTTCGCCTATGAGAAAAAGGAGCTGCGCCTGAACCGAACGCAACACACGTGAATCGAACCAAGACAGTCGAACCGAACCGTTCCATCCCTAATATATATATATATATATATATATATATATATATATATATATATATCCAAATTTGGCCAATCATATATCAACGTCATCTGTCAATCAAGGTTGAACTAAGAATGATTTCCTTTACCATTGAGTTGTGTCCCCGTATTTACGGGGATGGACATCTGTGTCTTCAGCAGGTGTAGGGCTAACAGAACTGCCAGCGTTGCGAGGCAAGGGCTCAAACATGTACGACTGTAAGCCTTCTACGCCAAACCAAGCTTCTGCCGCCCTGGTGTCCTCTTCCACAACATCTTCGTCCCCACTTTCCTTCTCTAAATAAAAAATGTAAGATGGAGGAGACTCATCCACGACCTCCGACACAAAACTCTCCTCCTCTTGCCTGTTTCCGCTGTCTATAGCATTCCTTGACAGTGTCATTGCTAAGTGCTACTTGGTCCAAATGTAATTTCCCATTGGAAACCTACTAGCACTAAGTTGCTAACTGGTTAGCAAGATGCTTGCGAACCTTCTGCCAAGACAATCGTTGATAATCGACCAATCACATTCACTTTATTCACTTGTGTAAACTTGTGCACCACTCGAGAGAATACAGAGCTGCAACCGTTGGAACAGCTGCTCCCTACGACTTTAAAATTGCAGGTGAATACGTTTGTTTATGAGATCAATCTATGTATCCATATTTCAGCTTAGAGGGCGCCATCATCCTCCAACAGCTTATGGTCTTCTTCTTCGTCTTTTTACAAGGCAGTAAGGTGCGGCTGCAGCTCCCAACTCGTGTAATGCAAAAAAAGTGTTTCCATTGCAGGTTTGCAAAATTTAGGAATTTTGATGCAAGCAAAAAAAAAAAAACACCCCATCAAAGCGTTAAAACTTTTATTTAAAAAAAATGTTCTGAAATTGCAGTGTTTCCATTTAGCACATTTAGTTTTCTTTAATTAAAATTTGGGTAATTTGATGGTTAATGGAAAGGCAGCTATTGGGTGTTTAAATGAGCGAGCTGATAAAAGTTACCTGTGGCAACTGTGGAGAAGAGAGCAAGGACAAAAAATAAGTTTTAGGCAGAGATGGATGCATTTGGTTGTTGGTTGTTGAACTATGGTTCGAATCACGTTTGCGGTATGAGATACAAGGATAAGTGTATTGGCTTTTCTTAATGACGATGCGTCCATTAAAGGCTGTGCTAAGAATCATTTTGTTTCTCAAAATGGCTTCAGGAGGAGAGTAAGTTATCCATCCTTTCATTTTCTTGCGCTTATCCAGGGCCGGTTGAGCTGTCTAAGCAAATATTCCCAAATGTCCCGATCCACACACACTTCCTCCAGCTGCTCTGGGGGGGAACCCAAGGCGACACTAGGCCAGCTCAGAGACATAGTCCCTCCAGCGTGTCCTGGGCCTTCCATGAGGCCTCCTCCGAGAGTTAATTCTTCTATTGTATGTTTAACACCTGTGGGGGCGATTAGTGCTGTAAGGTTCCCATAAAGCCTAGCCTGGCCAGACTAACTTTCATCAAGTGTACGTCATTCTGGTAAGGCTCAAATTCTCCAGTGTAAAACAGACCAGACCAATCACAGAGCTTGAGGCTGAAGTTTATGCTTGAGTCGGAATTACCCATAATTCAGCAGCCCTTTTCTGTAACAGTAACAGTTAAGATCGCTGCAGCAACAGAGCAATATTTTCATAATGCCCAAATGAGCTGGATATATCTTTATGTTTTGAAGAACTGGATGATGTAAGAGCTTTTTTTTTCTTCTATATAATAAAAGAAAAAGACAGTTTTGCTACTCATCCTAGTTTTTCAGACTTATGCGCATTTTACACGGGCTAAATCAGTCTGGCTGGACAGGCTACAAGAACACCAGAGTCATTAACACCTTCACTTGTAAAAATAAATAAATAAGTAAAGCTGAAGGTCTGGATATGCAGCACTTCTTCATATCTATAAGATTTCATATGAGCAAACATAAGCTTATGATATTTGATGTTTTCTATAGGTACACTGTTCGTGCACAAGCTGCGAATTCTAAAACTGAGTGAACGTCTGGTTCCCTTTGGATGACTGAGAATTTACACAGGCAAGCTGGGAATACAGTTTATATTGGAGAGAAAGAGCAAGTTTTTAGAGAGTTGGTAACCAAAACGGTTTCCCCTAAGCCAAATAGTTATGTTATGTGATTTTCTTTTTTTGTGTATAATAATTCGTCAGGAGATACTGTTGTATGCCTCCCCTGCATTTGAATAAACCAATCAGAGGCCTAATTGGACCGGGGGTGGTGTGTTTACTGATCTTTTTAAAGATCAAATAAAAATTTCTTCTAACTGATCCTATCAGAATCCTATATTAAAGAAAAATATATGAAAATATGATAAGGATTCACATGTGGTTCACTGTCTGCAATCTTAATGTTTTAATAGAGATCCCAGTTGAATGATTGTTCTGTTAGTAGCAGTGTTGGTTTTATAAAATTGAGCTATGGATTTCCCGAATCAGAATCAGACATTCTTTTATAATCCCAAAGGGAAATTACTTTCAATTCATCTAAATATGTCGACCTGCATCTAAATTCACTGATGTAATCAAACTCATAGAAATGCCCCACTTCTGTTTTGGTTAATGTGACTAATTGTTTAATATTATATGGGTCCTATGCTTGTTGACTGTTGTTATCTGTTCAGGTGATATAAATCCATCAAGCCTTATCTAATATTCCATACTAAAAAATTAGCATTAATATTATGTATAATTGGTACTGATATAATATCTGATCGTTATCACCATCGGGCAATAATCAGAGCTGCAGTCTAGATATTGCATCAGAAAGGAAAACTCATTGGACATCCCTAGATGTAACCAGTCTGTGCCTCTGAGGACGGATTTTTCTGGGGCTGCTGCTATTTATAATGTCTTTGGCTGATAGTGTTTTTGTTGTTTAGGTTTATAAGTACTCAAACCCATTTAATTAAAATACCAACTGATCTATAAATGTCTTCAAAACCTTTATTGCTCGTAATCCTGAGGTTAAACTCCTAATTAATTCTTTCTGATAACAGTGTCTATCTTACATGTTGGGGAAATGACAGTTTGAACAGCTCTCTTACAGATGCGTGTATTCAGATCATAATCTACTCTGAGAAATTTGATATCAGTTCTCTGGTGCTTCTATGACAAATCATGATTACATGATGTCTAAGCTCATGAGGGAAGAGAGAAACCTTCCTGAAAGAAGAGAAAGCTGTTCTGCTTCGCGTCCCCGTCACTTTGCTCCCACCTACACGTCCTGTAAAAACCATGAGCTTGCTTGTGGCGAGGTCACAGCAGCTGTTCTGGGAACTCTGGAAGATTTTCAGTAAGAGCAGATTTGGCATAAAACAAATACGCTCTTTTATATTTTTTTTTTTAAAGGGGGGGGACTGTTGTATTGACTAGATTTAAGATTTGCAAAAGTAACTGAAAGGCTTTAGACTTTTTTAGGATATTAAATAAAAGTTTATTTTTATCATAAATTGTAATATTTTACTGTGGAGTCATAACATTTTCAGACTTTTTACTGTTCTGACACCAAAGAAATTAATAAAAATGTATTAACACCATGTAAGTGCTTTTAATTTAAACAGGGATCAACCCATCTGACTTTTTCCTAGCTGTTGGTTTCTTATATATATTTTAACCTTTCAGATTTTGACTGGTACATTTTCCATCAGCAACACATCATAGTGTGAGAAAGAGGAATTTAGGTTGTCTGCGATCATATCAACATTTTTCTAAATATTTGCCCCTAGGTATTGATTGATTTCAATAGAATAGAATACAGTAATGATAAGGTCAATACAATCCAGACATTAGGATCTATTTAAAAAGGTCACACTCTGTAAACTAGATAGAAATGAGTATCCTAAGTTAAATTGGGGAAGTACATGTACAACTTTGGTTCAAATCTGCTTAAATCTTTCTGGAAAAACCTGTTTAATAATATAGTGAAATTCCTACATTGGATAAAGTTAAATGTTCTATAAACTGGTCATTAAACTCAAAAAGCTGCATAGAGCTTTATGAGAATGATCAGACTTTGTAGTTTTGTTTATTTAGTGACGATGGCAAATTCTTAATAATTTGACAATGAAAAATCTTTCCTATTCTTATCTCACTATTAGGGCTGCAACTAACGATTACTTTGCAAATCAGTTAATCTGTTAGTAATTTTTTTGATTAATCGAATAAAGGAAGATTTTTTTTACGAAAATAAAGCAGGTGAAACTAAAATGTTTCCAGTTGATGAGTTCTGGATATAGCATATTCCATCCATCCATTTTCTAACACGCTTACTTCCAAGTGGGGTCGCGAGGGGTGCTGAGGCCTATATCCAGTTGTCAATGGGCGAGAGGTCGCCAGTTAATCGCAGAGAAGAACAGAACAAACAACCATTCACACACACATACACACACACACACACACACACTCATAAGCAGAATTTAGAGAAGCCAATTAACCTAACAGTCATGGTTTTGGACTGTGGGAGGAAGCCGGAGTACCCAGAGAGAACCCACGCATGCTAAGGGAGAACATGCAAACTCCATGCAGAAAGACCCTGGGCTGGGAATCAAACCCAGAACCTTCTTGCTGCAAGGCAGCAGTGCTACCCACTGCGCCACTGAGCAACGATTATTTCAATAATTGATTAATCAGGAGTAATTGATTAATTAATATATTAATTGATGATTAATCTATGTAAATGTAAACAAATAATCGGATGAATACGATTATTTGTTTACATTTACATAGTCTATCCCTAACCTTCCTAGTTATGAAATCCAATTTAAATAGCTCTGTTGTTGCTCATTTACCCTAAATGCAATATATAATAACATGATAATGAAATGGCTTTTATCCTTCCTTTGATTTTAAATGGAGAAAACTTGTAAATATTGAAGCTTTTATGTAGGCTACTTCATGCTCAGAGATTGTTAGACCTTTCGGCCTTTTTCCTCTTAATAAGGTAAAAAATGCATGTTTTTTTCTTTTTAGTTGAGCTTTCTGCATCAATACCCACATTGCAGGCATTTGTTTACCATTCAAGAAGCTGCTAATAATTTTCCAAGTGTACTTTTAACATGTTATTATTAGGTTACGGGTGGCTCGGCTTTATTTTCGACACCTTAGCTGTGATTTTATTTTATTTTTTACTACAGTCAGACATTTTTCCACTGAATTTGTCTTTGCTGTAGGCAAAGGTAAGCTGTAGTAATGTATATGTATGCAGTTGACTGGAAGTTTGTAGCAACAGGTGGGAGAGGGGCTCCTGTTAGGTAAAGAAAACTCCAGGTACTTCTTCTTGCATCCGTTTGAAAGGGCTTAAAGCCATTTCAACCACATGAAGAGAACAACCACACGGTTTGAAACCTTAAGTTAAAAACCAACATTTCTTTTTAATGTTTAGTAGAGGTTAATACTAGTGTTAATTGTGTAATAGTTATTATCTGCAGACCTTCAGAAGGACTGGGTAGACCGCATTAATAACCCGCGTAAAGGTCTCAGCCCTCACATAGTAAAAAAGAATGGATGAATTAACTCTTTCTCCAGCTGTTCAACTATAAAAATATGTTTTGGATCACATAGGCCTTCCTAAAGGGAAATCATGGGATCATGTTGAGAATCTGGTGTCTTTGAAGTTTTCATGCATATGGCTGCATATAAATGCAGATGGCGAGTGTTTGAGTGCCTGGTTTCATGTTACTGTCAGCTACAGTAAATTGTATGCAGCTTTTTCGCCTCAGTCGGAGGCTTATTTCGATTTTTTTTTCCGGGCTTGCATTCCTTGACAACCTCACAATGGACAGGGAAAACCTTAGAAGCCACTCTTCCCCTTTCACACTCGGTGTGGCTGTGTCTCTGGCTTTTCACTGAACGGTCGTCTTTCTCTGAGAGGGAAACGGAGAGCTCTGTTGGATGTGGGGAGTTAAGGGGAAAAAGGAGGGGAAAAGCAAAAAAGGAGACAGCCAGAGTGAAAAGGTGAGTGCTGCTGTTCCTTTGTCTAGCACCTGTTGCTAGGCCTCTCCTGCCCCCCACCAGTCTGCCCTGCTTGCCGAGGGGACGCCGATGGATAAATACAAAAGCTTGTTCGTTTCAGCTCATTTCAGCTGATGGTTTAGGTTTATATAAAAAAAGGGAAATGAATTTGGTAGTACAATGTGACCCTAAACAGGAGATGTTTAGTCTCAGATAAAGGTTTACCAAATGTTGTGATTCAGTGGCACATTGTTTTCTGAAGTTGTGAACACTATTAATAATACTTTAATAATGGTGAAACTAGAATACAAAGTCTCTGTGGCTCTCCTAAACATCTGCTGCACAGTTCAACCGTATCAAGCGTTCAAGAGTCTGTTTTGTTTTAAAACCCTATCCACTAAACATCCTAATCATTTACAGTAGAGCACCAGCTGTGCTCAAATTAACAAGTGTTTAATCTTTTATTCATAGTGATTCCCTTTTATGTGTTTGCCCTGGCCGCAATGGTACAACCACTGCACATGGCGTTGTTAATGAATGATATTTCCGTCTTTCTTTGGTCTCCTCTGCTGTCCAGACGTGTTACATCTGCGAGGACCATGGGAGGGAGAGCAAGGCGGCCTGTGGCGCCTGCATGACCTGCAACAGGCAGGGCTGCAGGCAGGCTTTCCATGTTACCTGGTGAGTGACGGCCTTCGTGTTTGTTTGATGTTGTTTTTTGTCTAGCCTGGCATGTGGTGCTGTTCTTTTAAAGAAAACCACACAAAAGATGAATACGAACACTGACGTACTGATATTGTGATCCTATGGTCTGCTTTCTTTTTTTATCTAGCTCAACTGCCTATTGTTTTTTTCAGCTAGCAAAATATGAGCTGGAAAGCCTTGTAAAAATGAAAAGTATTAAAGATTAGCACAATCCTTTGAAGAACGGATTTTGCTGTCTGCTGTGTTTTCTGCTTTGCCATCAGGCTTTACCCCTGTACTCATTCTGAATCTTTATGGACTATATTCAAAGTTTCTCATTAGCTTTAACGGAACCTGGTCACTAGAGCGGGGTGATATGACCTCAAATCATTAACATGATAAATTGGACAGTTTTACCTGAATAATGATGAATGCATGATAAATGCTTCTCTATATGAAAATAATGGCATGTGCAAGAAATGCAAAATACCTTTTTTATTTATGTATTGACCAAATGACATTACAAACTACTTTCAATGAAATATAAAAGTCTTGTAACCATAAAATTCAACAATGTCTCATTGAACAGAAGAAAAATGTTTCCTCTCTTGCAAACATTTTTGTGCAAAGGTAACAGAGCCTTTTGCACTTCTTTGAACTCAACAGCATAGTCGTGCTGTAGGAAGGAGATTGGATATGTTGCATTTCGTGTTCTTTTGCTCAACATCTATGGCGTAATTTTGGTGCCACCGAACTAAGCGTGACTTAAGAACAATGTGCATAAATCCACGTATCCTTGTTCAAAACTGGTCTGCTGCGCTGTTCAATCTGACAACCCTCACTCACCCATCGCTTCATCTCTGCTCGCTTCTTCACTGGACTCATCCGTCATTCTCTGTTTACACTTATGACTGGATGGGTGGAGTTACATGATTCCCCATATACTGTAGTGTCTTCAAGGGGATCAGAAATACCAGCCACCTTCACACACCAGAAAAAACGGCAGAATCTAGTTTATTTCTTTTACCGACATCGAAAATTTGTCGCTGATTATGGTAGCGAATGACAGTAAAAATACGGTTTATTGTCCCGGCCTGCTGGTCACGTAACCAGCAGCTCACTTTAGTTGCATACAATAGTCTGCATATTAAATAATTGTAAACTGTGGATTATTTTATTTCAGCTCTGTTTTACATTTTGATTTTGGTTTTTTAACTGAACAATGTGCCACCTGTTTACTTATCATAACAAGACCAAGTGATCAGAGGAATTATATTGTAATAACAAAGGTGTAGAGCAGGGGTAACCAATTAAAAATCAGCGGGGTCCAAATAAAGAAAATCAACAACCAGTAAAGGTCCGGAGAAATTTTTAACTATAATCTGTTACTTTAAACAGAATTTAATAATGAAATAAAATGAGGAGTTTATGCATCCATGTTATATACATTGACTTTTTAAACAAACAAAATAAAAAATAAAAAACGAAAATTTTTCGGAGCAAAAGTGCAAAAGGAAAGCAAAAAAGTCCAAGATCAGAACTAATACTGGTGCCGGGGTTAGCAAAGCTATTCTCAAGCTCTAAGTTATAGCAGCTGTGTCAGGACTCAGAACGTTGGATCCAGAATTGAGGCACACAGACTGAAGCGATTTATAAACAGCATTTATTAACTGCTCAGGGATCTGTGGCTCCTCAACTTGGTCTAGATGACTTGAATCTCTTTAGAAGTTGAAACTCAGGTTAGTGACCACATAACAGGGAACGATAGCAAGCGAGTGAGTCACTAACCTGGTTTTTAAGTTCAGTCCAAGCCCAGAGGAAGGAGTGGAATCCAGCCGGATGATTTCTCCACAGCATGCGGTGGAAGCTGCCCAGAGAGTTTCAAGAGTAGAAGCCAAAGGTGCTGCAGAGCAGACAAACAAGCAGAAGCCAGAAGACCAGGTAGAGCATGAGTATCCAGAAGGAGAATCCAAAGCCGGTGTTGATAGGGAAGCAGATCCAAATAGGTACTAAAGGGAAATCCAACTCTGGTCGGGAGTAGGGGTGTAAATAATAATTGTTTTGTATCAATGCATCGATCCAACGGCCGACGATCCGATGCATCGACACGTCCGCAAGAGAATCGATTCATGTTTTTTTTTTTTTCCTCCAGTCTATTTTTATCCGTTTGCTCCTGGGCGTAATTCCCCCTTCCGTGCTGTGGTGGCGCTAAACCTATTTTGCCCTCCTACCTCGCTTCCGGTTATACTCTTACAGCAGTGTGTTGCAGTAAGCTTGACACAGACATTTTTTATTTATGCTCAGTATTGAAGCGTGGTCTGTGCTACACGCTGTGGGTCTAGATACGGCCCAGCCGGTGAGGAAGTGGGGGCGAGTTTAGTCCGACGATGGAGGGACATGAGAGCCAAAAAGAGCGGAGATCCAGGTGGGAAAAGGGTCCCAGCGTTCTCGCGCACCTCGCTCTTCTAGCGGGTCAAACTTCACGAGTTGTTTTCCGCAATTTCAGTCATAAAAACAAAACAAGCCGGCCTCCTCACTGTTTGCGGTCAGCTACAATTTGGGAGAGGTGCAGCGGAGCGTCTCTCAAGGGGGCGGGACGTTTAGAGCCGAGGTATTGCATTGCACTCATTGCACTGATTTTGTGCAGTATTTTTTGATGCAACTTTTCTACTTCTGTTATTTGCTGTTTTAAAAAAAAAATGCATAACGATATTACAGCTTTCATTGATTTATTTCAAACTTTAAACTTTGTTTAGCCTGTAAGCTTTAAAAAAAATAAAAAATTTACAGATTAATCGAATCGTATCGTGGTGTATTCTTGCGTATTGAAAATAATCGAATCGTTGGGTCAGGAAATCGATACTGAATAGAATCGCCATGATGAATGTGATTTACACCCCTAGTCGGGAGACAGATTCGAGGTCGTTAGCAGGCAGAAACCAATGGAAGTCCGAAGACAGCTCAGAAAAAAAGATCTGCACATGGGCAAGCAAACTCAGAATCCAAGAACAGAAACTAGTCAGGATCAAGCAATCAGAATAAACACACCGCTTACGCTACAGAACTCTCACCTATGGCTAGAATAATCTGGCACTGATGGATGGGAACAAGCTGTTTAAATAGGAACAGGCACAGCTGGATCTGATGAGTGATATTGAAAACTGGGCAGAGGTAGGCAGGTGAATGATATAAACTGTATGAAGAAACCGTGCAGTTTCATCGTACAGTGTGAGTTCACAGCTCACGATGTAAGTTCTCACACTGTATAGCCCGACGCTCTGATGCGATCTATCTGCTCACACTGTACGTCTAAGAACCATGTCCGACTTAGCTCCGCAGTGAGATGGCTCTACTCGGACTTGCCTATCTGGAAGCCAAACGAGCAGAAGAGGAATATCAAGCTCACTAGAGTGAAATGCGCTGCCTTGGCAAATTGTGCAATTTTGTGTGCTGAAAGCCCTAAGAAGAAAAGGCAACAATGTATTTGGGAAAACACATGGCTAAGCAAACGTGGCTAGTACAGTCTGTCAATTTTACAGAAAGAACTCCATTTCACTGGTACCCCGCCATGCTTCTGTGTTTTCATCTGAGAGGAACAAGAAGAAGAGGAATCCTTCTTTGCACATGCCCACTGAGCGATTTGCCCATGACCCCCTTACGACAGCCAACTGAATTTCAAACATGTTTGATTTTCTCCCGACCTTCTGATTCCTGATCGGGAGGTGGTCGTGAGAGGCTGATCGGCCCTTGTTGCCCCCTGTACACTACACCACGCACGATCAGGCTGAAAGTCAGCCAGATCGAAAAATTCGCCAACGACTGGAGAATTGGCCCAAAAAGTGTAAAAAATCAAACAGTGAATGCCCGACTTAATCCAGTCATCAGTGCCAAGATCATGACAGGCGGAAAAGTTTATCTGGTGTGTAATGTGTACACATTTCCAATGTAGTAATACAAGCTGCCGGCAGATGCCATATGATAATGTTTATGTCTGCTGATCATTCCTGGTGCAAAAAGTCTTTTCATGTTAAGCAATTACAATTACACATAATCAGGAGAAATGTTTGAAAGATGTTTAATTTGAAGATAAATGCTTTGTTTTTTAGTCATAGTCCATGAGGAGGCCCCTTTAATTCAGTCATAAAATCTTAGAATCATACCAAACCGGGAACTTACTTCCAGTTTACAATCAGCACGGTGAATTTGCACATAGCAATCTCATCTTAACAGTAGACCTCTTTGAATTCTAACTCATCAGGGTCACGGCAACCACAAAAGACATTTCAATACCAAGAATTGACGAAGACTCCTGGACTGACATCAGTTCTCTTTGAAAGATTTACTGAGTTTGATATTGTCAGAATAAATCAAGGAATTACAGAGAGGTGTAGAAGAAAAATATTTTTTTGTGACATGTTGGGACATCTCGGGTTTTTTCTTTCGAGCTATAAGGGTGCATGTCTTTCAATAGAAAGCGAAATGTCTGAATGAAGAGCCGCAGTGTTTCTATAAATACATCATAAGATCATGTTTAAGTCACTATTAAACCAGGAAATCATAGAACTGAACCATCTCTAGTTCTGCTGCAAAAGTGACTTTAAATCCCACAATAGGCTACATTCGCTCCAGAGCTGCAGGACATTTTTCATCAGATCTGCAGTAAAAAGTGTGATTTATAATATAAGGTCATATAAGCAGCTAACTTAATTTTGGCTTTTGTGATAGCAAAGCCCTGTTCTCTTGCTTAAGAGTTGTATCATTGCATCTGTTCCTAATGTGAATTAATTTCAGAGAAATAGATTTGGAATACCTTTCTACTTGTATCTATCTTCTGTTTTCTCCCACACTGTTTACATTTGATCACTGCTGCACTTTAAGAAATGGAAAAGTCATGAGAGCTATACTAAAGCAAATTTTGTTTTGTGTACACCCTGTGTGTACAACATGACAATAAAAGTTGTCTAAGTCTAGACAACAACAAAAAAAAATGACAAAGAGATTGGCCTAGTTTAGGTCTCAGCTGCATTATTTTGTGTGTTTTACCAACAGAGAATGTAGATCCTATCTTTTACATTCTGAATCGGTTGTCTGTAGGGCTGCAAATAAAGATTATTTTGATAATTGATCAAGCTGTCGATAATTTTTTTCGATTAATCGATTAATAATCGGATAGTGAAAGGTTCCTTAAAGAAGTTTTTATACAAAATTAAACCAGGTGTAACTAAAACTTTTCGACTTGGAGTTCTGAATAGAGAATATTGTCAGGAGAAAAAGTTATTCTTTTATCTTAAATGGAAGATATTTCTATATTTTTTTCCCAATTTTGGTATAATTATTGCTCTAAGTGGGTTGTCCTGTCAACTAAAGGCACGTTTGAGTCTCTAGACTCCAGTTAATGAATAAAAGATTACTGAATTAGATGACAATTGTTTGAATAATGGATTAATCATGATTAATCCAATTAATTGTTTGAACAACAATAGTTGTCTGCTTTCTAAATGCACCATGTGTATCAGAGGCTATAGAACAATGCAGCTTTACTGAGCAGTTTTCAGCCTTTCAGTTATCCTTTTTTCTATTTTTGACTCAACTTTAGGTGATGAACTTGCTGCTCAGAAAGAAATACTGCAGACTTTGAAGCAGCAGCTATTTTTTGGTTCATATTTAATAAAAGCATAATTAGGAGTTTTCTTTGTATTCTGGTTCTTGATGCATTACCTTCTAAAGCATCATAGTGCAATCTAAGGAGAAGACAAAAACCTTCCTATTTTAAAACCCGTCAAACATGTTACCTCGAATACCAGCATCAACATTACATTTCACCTAAACAAAAGACGGTTACTAAAATAACTCTTGGTTTGAACAGCTCAGAACATTATTCTCGTCAAGCTTTGAAAATAACAGGGATAAAAAAAAGGTTTTAGTCTAAAAGGGTTGAGTGTCTGTTAAGTTGTCAAGAAATCTAAAAATAACGTCCAAACACACTTTCTGTCTCGTCTTATATGTGTGGAAGCTTGACTCTGACTTGTAACCCTGTGATATATTTTTCTCAGCGCCCAGATGGCGGGTCTCTTATGTGAGGAGGAAGGACCAGAAGCTGACAACGTTAAATATTGTGGTTACTGCAAGCACCACTACAATAAAATGGTACAAAGAGTAAAATATTGCTTCTTTATCGTTTTACAACATAAACCTGTTTGTGCTTGTAAAAGCTCAGCAGTTCTTGAGGCTAAGCTAACTGTTTGCTTTTACAGCAGAAGAAATTGCGCTCCAGTGAAAATGCAAGCAGCTCCTTCAGTCATTCCAGGGGGCGCTCCAGTTCTCCATCACAGGAAAAACATCATCACCATAAACAAAGGAAGGTAAACACCACTTTGGCCTGATTAAGTCTCCGTAGCACGATAGGCGTGTGTTTACTGGCCTCTGTCATGTCTCTCCACTTTAAAGTGAATTATCACTTTGAAATCCATTCGATTTATATTTTCCTTTTTTTTTTTTTTTTAGAAAGCACAGGGGTAGAATGAAGGCATTTAGCAAATCAAAGCAAATCTTTTGCTCTAGAAATGGTGAGACCATTCGGGAAAAATCAACCAGTGGAAAACAAAACGCTTCCAAAGCGATTCTTAAGAAAATACCACCACTGGTAGAAAAATAAACCAACAAATCAGAAGCAGCTGGAGAAATGAAGTTCCATTGAGTTTTTTTTTTTTCAATAAGGCAGGCGTCTCCATCCCATTGCTCACAAGCTACCTGTAGCTTTGCAGGCCCTTTCCAATAGTCCTTCAAAGAGTCAGCAATATGAAAACACAAATCTGATTTGTCACTTGATGAAAACTTTTCACATCAATCCTCAGTCTCCTGTCTCCAAAGTTTCCTGCCTCCTACAGAGATCCATGTTCTTTGTCTGTCGACTGTCTATCAGACATTAGCGCTGGTCTGCTTTCTATCATCAGAGGAAGATGAGGGGGTTGAGGTTAGAGGCAGCATGCAGTGTTAGGCGAGGGAATTTGATTTTTTTCTCAAAAATATAAACAACAGGTGTTTGTTTGAGTGTCTGAACTGTGGAACAAGCCTAGAGTTGGTACAGGACAGTGGGAAAATTTTCAGGTTAAGCCCATTTCATAAAGTTAAGGTGAAAAAACTGAAGGCCGCAATATTATTAACCAGGCTATGACTGCTGTGGTGGAGTCTTTATTCTTGAAATTTCCAGTGGAATAAAACGGAGATTCTGTTTCCAATTTCTTAACTGAAGTCCCACCAATTGTGATGGGGTGTCACTCCATTCAAACTGCATCTGAATGTTTCTAAATTTCTGAACTTTGCATCATCCACAATACCAGCTTTATTTATTTGTAGAAAAATTTAACACACAACAAAAGTGGAGTACACCAAGTTAAAAATAAGCATGTTTAAATCTCATAATACTGAATTTTCCTTCCGGGTTCAATAAAGTATAATTAAATTTAATTGAATACCATATAAAACAACTCCGGTTGTTATACATAGTTATATTTAAACATTAGAGAAAAGAATATGGCATTTTACTTGAAAACAACCTGCCTGCTTCATACAATAATTTTAAAAAGTTTTAGGATTCCTTATGATAGCTATTTTTGTCGGTGTGTGACTATGCTACACAATACCCGTCTCTTTGTGTTTTTGCAGAGTCATAAAGACAAGATCCGTCAAAAAGAGCGGCACAAGAAGTCTGCTGACGACCTGAGCTCCCCCTTAACAACAAGCAGTATAGAAAAGGTAAAAACAGCCAAACCACAGTGTGGAGTCACTGTGGTACAAAACCTCACAGGACACAGGGTGCATTTTAGCTGCAATCTGACACAAGTTCCACCATTGGTGTTAAAGTGCTTGGTGGGAACTTAGACATAGACCATTTTATTCATTTTTTTGAGAACTTCTGCTTTTATATAAATGTTATTCTGAAGGACATTTATATAATAGCATTACACAATGATGTATTAAATGTGTTTTATTGGCTTATTGTTTTTTGAAGTTGTGTAAATACATAAACTGATGGTTTAAAAATGGATTAAACAGTTTTGATCTTTCTCTTTAAAAGAACAGTATATAGAGAATGATTTGAGATGGAATATAATCCGAAATAGCCCCACCCCCCAGGTTTTCTATAATTTTACTCCTGGGAGCTCAGATGAACATTAAAGATGCTTGATTTTCATTTTTCTCTCTTGGGAATACTTTCTGTGTTTAATGGGATGTATATTTTTGGATACATATCCTGCTCAAAAACCTAGTGAGGACTATTTTAAGCTTTCTGCTACAGTTTACCAGATTTATTTTTTTAAATCTGCAGCTTTTTCAAAGGCTCTATGATGCAATGCTCTCCAAAAGGGTTATTGTGAGCCCGGATAGAGAAATGGGCCCACAGCATCACAAATCCTTCATTGTATTTAAAAGAACATATGCTTTTCTACAAATTTTTGTGCCAAATCTACTTGAAGTGTTCGTGGCTGAAAAGCTCGATCTCGTTCTGATCTAAGGAAAGCTTTAAGTGACTGGTAAAGCTCCAGGAGCATTGGGCAAACTCTTCATATATTTGTGATAGTGGGTTAGAAACAACCTTTTTTCCCATAATACTACTTTTGCCTGATGGTTTTCTATGGATCTGATGTTTTTTTTGTTGTTGTGGGCTTTAATTTTAGGATTTATTTTTTTCATGACCAAATGCTCTCAAGTTAAATGTTGGACTTTTTACTTTTTGAGTTGTGGGACTATACTGCTGCATAAAAAAGTATATTTTTGAACATCTAAACCAGATGTGGAAATATATTTTTAGGCGTCTCTTTATAAGCTAGGGCTGGGCGACGATTCAAAAATGTAGTTATTATTATTTTCTGTTTATAAAGATTAAATTTTTGGAAAATCTGGAATTTTTTTCACCAATTTACTTCTTGTGCTTCCATAGCTCAGAATTACATCAGTTCCTCACTTTTTTATCTAGGATGTGTACTTATAAATGATAAACCAGCTCACTATAGGATACCTCTAGCTGCATATTGTTTCCTTTTGAATGAATTTCACCTCCCAGATTGGAATCAAAGCTAGTTTTTGAAAGTAATGTTTGTCATTTTTAGAATAAAACAAATGGGGAAAAATTTATTAATTGGATTTTGTAGGGAAAAAATGAGATTAGATTCTAAACCATATATAAACTTCAAGGAGTTTTGATCTTTCTTTCTTAAATAAGACTTGTGTTTTTTATGTTGGTGGTATAAATGTTTGTTTCTGTCTAAAATGTTTATTTCTGTATATTGTTTTTGATATGCATCCACAGATCCCCTCCTCGCATCATAGCAGCAAGGACAGCGAAGGAAAGTCAAAGAAGCTGAGCTCTCACAGTCATGGCCACCGCATTAAGAAAACAGGAAGCCTTGGAAAAAGCTGCTCTTCCTCCTCATGCTCCTCCAGCCCATTTAACACAGGTTCCTCCTGAAGCATCACCATCACACTGAGAGGTTGTTGAAAGGGTTTGTGTCTGACTGTTTGTCTTCTGCAGGCGGATCGCTGTCAGCAACTCAGGATTTTCATCAGTTCTCATCTTCCTCCCGCTTGGAACGCGAGCACGACCGTGGAGGCGATGACCACAATGGAGAGAAGCGTAAGGAGCGTCACAGGAGGTCTGCAGTGCAGGAGGAGGAGGAAGAAGAAGAAGAAAAGCCTGAAAAATATGAAGAGGAGGAGGAAGAAGAAGAAGAGGAGGAGGAGGAGGAAGATTGTAAATTCCAAAAGCCGCCCGCATTGACCCCTGCAGATTGTCCCCTGGCAGGGTCTCAAAGTCATGAGCGGACGGAGAGCAACTCAAGCCCCTTCGAGAACAAAGTCACCATCTCCACCTTCGGCTCAATCATGCGCATCACCTCCTCCTCAGGGCTGGGCAGCACCTGTAAAATCCGCAAAATCTCTTCCTCAGGTGACTACAAGCCCTCCAAATCCCTCTCCAAGCCAACTCAGGCCAGCGTCCCTCCTGTATTGGAGGACGCTGGCCTGAAAGACAAGATCACACCCCCACCGCTGCCCAGAGAGAGGAGGCACCACAGTAACAAGAAGAGCCGCCATGGCCCAGGTCGCCCGCGGGGCAGCAAGAACCGAGAGCGGAGGGAGGAGGACCATCACCACCATCATGACTCCACAGCGCCGCCTCCCCCAGCCTTAAGCTCTTCACTCTACCAGAGCCCATCATCTGTGCCCCACCCTGCTTTCCCCTCCACTCTGCCTTCCACATCTTCCTCTACAGCCTCCTCCTCCTCTGCAAGGAGTTTTTCTGCAGGTCGCAGCAGCTCTTTGCTCGGCTCCGGTGAGTCTGAGCGGGTGGGCGTGTGTGGTAGCCCATAACTTCCTGTCTATATGTGTGCACATTGCTATTTGTTTGAACTGCGCTGTATTCAATTTGCAGCTCGAGTTGAATTGTTGAAATAATTCCATTACACACTGCAGCTTATCTGAGCATCATGACCTCAGAGTTGTAGAGGAAATGAAAAGCCAACCAGGATCAACAGATTTAGTCTAATGTTACTGCTCCTCTAATTTATAAATCTGCTTTAGAGTACCGTTTAATCTGTGTGAGGCAGAGATATTGTCCTAGATATGGTTTGCTGTGTGAGCTGCAAATTTCCTGACCTACTTTTCGACTCAGCCTCATGAGTGCCACCATACATGTTTTTGGAGCTTCACAACTTGCCACGAGAGAAGATCAGACACTAAGGTTTTCTGTTTTTAATCATTCCTTTCCCATTCTACTCAGGTATCTACTCCAGTCTTAAGGACCCACTCACACTGGGTGGTGGAGTCTGCAGCACCCCTCTCGCCCTCAGTGGAGGAGTCTGCAGCACCTCCTTGTCCCTTGGAGGGGCAATGTGTAGCACTTCTCTTTCCTCAGGACTCCTTTCATCCCATGGCTCCTCACTGTCTCTTCCGTCTGTCTCAAAAACACAGGTACTTCAGAAAGAATTCATGTAGAGAACTCTAAGGAAAGGGAATTTAAGTACTAGTTAGTCGAGAAAATCTATCAGAGTGGTGTTAGGGCTTTGATAATACAGTAAAATGCAAAAGTTTTGTATAGGTTGAAGGTTTGTCAGAATGCAATAGTTAACATACAGCAGGATGCAGATCAAAAGTTAATAATCTATCACAGCTCTACTCAGTTGCTGCCTAAAGAATCCATTCATCCATCCATCCATCTTCTTCCACTTATCCGGGGTCGGGTCATGGGGGTAGCAGCTTCAGTAGGGAGGCCCAGATGTCCCTCTCCCCAGCCACTTGGGCCAGCTCTTCCAGGGGAATCCCAAGGCGCTCCCAGGCCAGCCGAGAAACATAGTCCCTTCAGTGTGTCCTGGGTCTCCCCCTTGGCCTCCTCCCGGTGGGACGTGCCTGGAACACCTCACCAGGGAGACGTCCAGGAGGCATCCTAATCAGATGCCCAAGCCACCTCAACTGGCTCTTCTCGATGTGGAGAAGCAGCGGCTGTACTCTGAGTCCTCCCTGGAAGACTGAGCTCCTCACCCTATCTCTAAGGGAGAGCCCAGACACACTACAGAGAAAACTCATTTCAGCCGCTTGTATCCGGGATCTCGTTCTTTCGGTCATGACCCAAAGCTCATGACCATAGATGAGGGTAGGAATGTAGATCGACCGGTAAATCTAGAGCTTTGCCTTTTTGGCTCAGCTCTCTCTTCACCACAACAGACCGTTACAGTGCACGCTTCACTGCAGACGCCGCACCAATCCGCCCATCGAGCTCCCGCTCCACCTTACCCTCACTCGTGAACAAGACCCTAAGCCTAAAGAATCAGCTTCTTAATCTTAATCAGCTTCTGTATGTTTTAAATCTAAATTTAAACACTAAAATGTGGTTTATGCCAGATACACGTTCTTATTACCCACAGATGTTTATTGTAACCAATCTGCTTGGTGTGACGGATTGCCTTTGAGTCAATGAGTCGATGCAATCAACTGGTTTTCCTTAGATAGAAAACTTTGAATCAATTTGACAGTATGATCTGGTTGAATTGTATCTGTAAACTGCCTTAAGATGACATGTGTTGTGAATTGGCACTATATCAATAAACCGAATTGAATTGAATCCGATCTTAATCTCTGTCAATCAGGTTCATTCCAGTTCAAGCACCTCCTATAGTCTGAACTCCTCTCAGCCGTTTACCGGCTGTCTCTCTACGGCATCGACGCTGCCGCCTCTACTGAGCCAAGGCCAGACCTCACTGCCAGGTGACAGAAACTGTATTTACTGGTCTTCTGTAGTAAAATAAAGACTGCTTTATTTCCTAGTAACAAACTTTAGACATGAGGCTTTAATGATGCTCTCTTCCTGTTGGGGGTTCATTTATTTGTTCTGGTATTCAGAGTCCGACATTGATGACTGCCGCTTCCAGTGTCAGGGAAACTCACCCAGAGAGAGTCTCTCCTCACAGTACGTCTTTACTCTTCAATTGGTGTTGATTATTTCTTTTATTATATATATGTATGTATATATATATATATATATATATATATATATATATATATATATATATATATATATATATATATATATATATATATATATATATATGTATATATATATATATGTATATATATATATATATATATATATATATATATATATATATATATATATATATATATATATATATATATATATATATATTGGGGACAACGGTACAACCAAATAGATCAATGAATTACCAATAACCATTTCAGGTCGAAATATGAATACAGGTATATATACATGTTTTATTATCCATTATTTGTTCTAATTTATGAAATATCTGGTGAAATATAAGTGGGGGAAATTACATTTCTGAACATTTTAATTCCTCGTTAAAATAAATTATTTCGAGCCATTTGTTTAGTTTCATGGTTTCTGTGCTGCGTTGCTCTGAGATTCATTTAAACTTTTACTGTTGGCATCTGATTGGTTAACTTGCAGAGCAGAGTCTTCTCTGGCCAATAATTTTAGCTGCAGCAGAGTTGGTCTCTTATTTGTGAATTCAGGTTCGATTGTGAGAGTAAATGTGCCACTGGGTGGAAAATGGGTTCTTCAAACATTTTCATCGTAAATTAATAATCTGTATATATTTTTAGAGTTTATATTTTTCAAAATAATATTTTGAAACATATTTGTGTGTATTGTGTGTCTATTTATTGTTTTGTTAAATACGTATGTATGTATGTTAAATTGTATAACTTTTCACCCTACTCTTCGGAGAACATCACCAATAGATAAAAAAAAAAAACATTTATGGAAAAAGGCAGCTGGCTAACTAACGAGACAAAGGGGTGGGATTAATAACCAAAAACACATCACAGCCACTGGTTTTGTCCTCCTTCTGCACATAGGTCTCCCATGAGCTGTCTTCCTCTTCTGTTTGACCTGAGAGATGGGCTGGGCTCTGGGGTCAGAGTCCGTCCTGAGAACGTCCCTCCTGCAAGCTCCCACATCGAACTACTGTTGGAGAAACATGGAAATGGAGAGATGGGAGTAAACAGTAAGGGATCTGTTCAAAAAAACAAAAAAAAAAATGCCCTGTTGGTCTGAATCTTATTAAGTTAAAGCACATAGCTACAAGTTTGACTTCTTCCAGCCAGTAGGTGGCATACATAACCGCCCTTGTTTCAACCAACAGTATTGTATATGTATATGTGTCTAGAAAGAAACAGTAACCTCTGCTCGGCTTCTGATCACCTTTGCTTCCTTAAGTCGGCACCAATAATCACTGATGTTTGATGTTTTACCCTCGCTTTTTACTTTTTTTTGCTCTGCTTGAATCTAAGAAAATTCACCCCAATGAGAAGCCATTTCTCAGCTTTATTACAAGCTGCTACATAACTGCAATGCCTGAGCTCCATCTTACATGCCTTTGACCTAGTATTCCTAACAGTGCAGGATCCTTTTCTGGATATGTTGGTAACCAGAAGCAAATATTTATCAAATCTGGACCTGTCAAAACTGATTATATCTATTGATATCTATGATGATATCTATATTTTTTCTCCAGAAATTCTATGGATGTATTATTTTGAAATAATTAATTGTTTTGATGAAAACGTTGTGGTTTTGACCTTTAGATTTACACTGTTATTAGTTTCTTTGTTTTTTTCTTATTATAGTAACAAAGTGTTTAATGAGCCTGTTGTTACCTCTTTCCTTTGAGTTAATAAACACATTTATCACAAGTTATTTCAGGGATTAAAAAGAATAAGTTGTTCATTTTTTTTTTTTTATGTTTGTAAGTTTTCTTTTTTACAACACACTGTTGAGGATAGACTTTAGATGGGTACAGGTCATTTCCCCTTTTTGCTATTTTGAAAGTTTTTTTTTTACTTTAATCTCTTCTTTGGTCAAAAAAAAAAACAGAAGGTTTGCACATTTCAAACTGAAACCATCATCTCTAGGTACCAGTGTCTGTCTCCCTCCTGGACAGATATGATGGCTGGATGCTGTTTGTGCTTGTTTTACTAGATAAATGTGCCACCTTCAGGAATCTGGATCATTATAAGCCCATGAAAGGACCAGACTGGGGAAAGTCCACAGTTCTCTTCCTTATAAATGACCTTATTCTTTCTTTACATTATCCCATGGAGTCACACAGGGAAGCGTTAGAGTTCATTTTTATTCTCAGATGTGCCTCAAGTTAATTCAAATGTTTTGAATTATCCCATTAGAAGCTTACAAAGCCAGTACATCATCTGGGAAAACTCTTTAAAGACAATATTCTACAGAAAATAGTAGTTTTACTATCAGACCTAAACCAGAAGGTCTGGTTTAATGTCAAAAAAATTTTTTTTGCACTGTAGGTAAAAAATCTGGCTTCTGCACAGTTTCAATTAGTCATATGGAGACTTGCAGAAAAGGTTTACATTTTCCTGCTAATCTGTGTTGAATTATGTAAAATTCAATGACTAATGTTTCTAAGTATGCTGTGCAAAGCACATTAGATTACACAGATTCAATGGAATCTGCAGCAACAACTTGTACCATTTCCTTTCCAGTAACAGGTGATCAGGATTATAGCCAGGTAAAAAAAAAAAAGCTAGATTTATTTGATCAGCATAATAATGTGCATGGTGTCAAACACATTTCTCCAAGCCCTGCACATTGTTAAAAGATGCACCTCATGGTTTACTGGGAATACAGATGATAAAATTACAGGCCCGAGTTCAAACAGCAGCTCTGCATAAAAAATCACCTTCCTAAGACCTGCTAGCTGATACTTGAATAAGAAGAAACCCTCTTTCTTTTAACTGTTTTTTTTTTTTTTGCTTTCTTTTCACTGTTTAATAATTTTTTTCTTCATGCTGTTCTTTCCCCAGATGAACACACTCTATGTTATACATGATAGACTTTGATTCTCCTTCTTTTCTCTCCCTATTCCAGTTGTGGACATGTTAAAGTCACTTCACTCGCTGCAGCAGGAGAACCAGCGCCTACAGGACCAGATCCTCAGCCTGACGGCTAAAAGGGAGCGGCTGCAGTTGCTCAACACGGAGCTGGCCTCTCCTTTTCAGCCCCATTTTCTCTCCGGACCGGGCCTGCACTCATCCGCACAGATCAGCTTTCTGTCATCCTCTCAAGGTTAGGATCTTCACCTCTGACACCTACTTTCACATCTTTATGTCTGGGTAGCCGTTTCGTACACTCCCACTTTCATTTAACAGCATCAGTGTGTTAACATCGTTAGACTGAACTGAGATGATGCTGTTCTAACTGGTTTTAGCTGCAGCTCTGCACCGAAATATGCCTCTCATTTCTTTAGACCCCTTGAGCACCAATAAGAGTCCTCTGTCCAAAAGCTGCTTCCTGAATGACTCCTCCTTTGTTACTTCATCAGAGGTAAAAAACTGTGTCTCCTTTTTTATGCCAAACTCACCAGGAGTTTAATAACAAGCCCCCTTTTTATGTTTCTATAAATTGTTTTAGAAGGAGCTCTCTACTGCTTGTGTTTATTTAATGACACATTAAAGGAATAGTACACCCAAAACATGATTAGCCTTCATTTTCTACTCACCCCCATGCTGAACAACACTCTGGAGTACTTTTTTGATATCTCAAATGCATCTGGAGATCTGGGAGGCTTCTTGCTGTCTGCTGACATTCAAATAATGGAGGTCTATGGTGCCCGAGGCAGAAAGGTCCATAAAAGTCCACAAAAAACGTGTCAATATTCCTCCATACTGCTCGTCCAATGTATTCCAAGTGTCCTGAGTGGGTAGCATCCAGAATTTACTCGAAACAAAGTCATTTAGAATGTTTTTAGAGCATAAACAGTAGCGTATAGGATTTCCTGAAAGCGCGTTCACAACGCTACGGAAGCCGGCAGACCAAACCAGCGCATTCAGCTCGGCAAAGAACTCATGCTCTTCCTCAACACTGAAGTCCTCAGACATTTTTCTTTCGTTGTTTCTTTCTTTGCACAGGTAAACAGCACATTTCTTCTTCTACACTTGCATTATTGGCAGAGCAGACACTGAATGCGCACTTTCATCTGGTTTGGTCTGCCGGCTTCCGTAGCGTCGTGAACGCGCTTTTAGGAAATCCTATACACTACTGTTTATGCTCTAAAAACATTCTAAATGACTTCGTTTCGAGTAAATTCTGGATGCTACCCACTCAGGACACTTGGAATACATTGGACGAGCAGTATGGAGGAATATTGACACGTTTTTTGTGGACTTTTATGGACCTTTCTGTCTCGGGCACCATAGACCTCCATTATTTGAATGTCAGCAGACAGCAAGAAGCCTCCCAGATCTCCAGATGCATTTGAGATATCAAAAAAGTACTCCAGAGTGTTGTTCAGCATGGGGGTGAGTAGAAAATGAAGGCTAATCATGTTTTGGGTGTACTATTCCTTTAAGGTGTAATAAACAGCTAAAAGGTGTTCTTTGTTTTGTTGATCCAGGAGCTTCATTCCGGCAGCCCGTCACGTAGCAGTTCCTCGCTCTCCTTCCAGGGAACCCCCCCTCCTCAGCCGAGCCCCGCCTCTCTTGGCCAGCCGCTGCTGAACGGTTTGAGCAGAGGGGCGACCGACAGTCTGGCCAGCATCAGTCAGTCCGGCAGCACCACTCTGCCAGTGGTGGGTGGGCTCATGGCGTCCATCACGGGGAGTCCCCAGCTGAACATGAACGGCGTGCTCGGCGGGCTGAATGGCGTGATCCAGTCTCCTGCACAGGGTGCTCAGCAGCCAGCGCTCCCTGCCCTTCGCCCCCAGCCTCCGCCGATCAACCCCCAGTCACTGGCTCAGGGCTTCCAGCTTCCCAAGAACGTGAGCCCGTAAGTACCTTTTGGTTCAGATAGGCCCCCATCCAAGAAGGGTTGGTCATTGTCTGAATTTGAACACTTCTGGTTCCTCTCCATTCCAATTCTTTTAAGAAAAAGAATCATATTAGTTAAAATGTTATAAATGAGTTTGCTGACAGAGTTCTGTCTGGATGAAATGGTTTAAACTAACTTCTAAAACGCTTTTATAAATTATCATATAGTTGCTTTCAGCCAGTATATACATCTCAAACCTATAAGCTCCAATATAATCCTATGAATCCTTCTTCACAGTTACATTTTTACATTAAGCTTTACTGTGTAACACCTTAAATAAAACACATTTGCTCATGCTGTAGGTATTTATGGTATTTATAGTTATTTTTAATAGTCTATATAAGAAAATTGTTTAATTTTTATTTACCTGATTGCCTGGTAAATTCTCAGTCATCTGGCTCATCAACCACAAAACAGGCTTTAATTGGAAGGCAGCCAGACATTTGCTCAGTTTTTTGAAAAATAAGTAATTAGTCTGACTGAGGATTGATTAGTTCATAAGTTCAGCAGTTCTACATTCAATTTCTTTCCATTCTATCCAGGAAGCATAGGAAACCAGGCAGGCATCAGCTAAGAAGTAAAGTAAGAGGAAGAAAGTACAGAAAAAAGCTTTGCTCTCCCTGCTGAGTCTGTGCTGAGATTTTAGAGGAGGAACCCATTCCTCAGGGAACCAACTTTAGCACAGCACAGGAGCAGCAGGTCAAAGACGAGGTTGCTCATGTTTGATCATGTTAGCCAGATAGCCGATTGGTCATTTCCTTAATTAACGTTAACATTCACTTTCAAATGCTGCATCAGATGGTTTCACAAACACTGCTGTGGATTCTTCTTCGCTGATATTGGGCAGCCTCTGCCTCTGCATGGCAGACTTGGTATTAAAACCAAGGAATCGAAGATAAAAATAAAAATGTAATCCTCGTTGCTCCACCCCTCATCCAAAAGAGGAGATTTATTTAACTGAGTGCAATGCCTCGTAAAATTATTTACGCTCTTTGATTATTTTATCCTTTTAATATATGAAATAATCTGTTGTGGTGTAAATTCTGAGTTATTGCATATTTATTACGGTAAGGGTTTTGTTGTTCATACAGAGTTTTTAAAAAAAAATAGCCACGTTTTTTTTAAAAAGTAAAAAAACTCAAAATTCTTCTAACTAGAAGGATGCCTTACAAACTGCCTGCACACTTTGCCTCATACATTCAACAACATACAAATTAGAACATCTGATTCATCAATTTTTTTTTACTGAATAAAGCTCACCTCCTTGGGAGCTTCCTAACCTCACTGATATTATTTTGAATTCTTTCAATAAGCGATTTAATAACATATAGGCAGCAGCATGCCATGGCAGTATGAGCTGGTTTTCTCCAAAAAATGGTAACTGAAGAGGTTGTTTACAGAAAATTGATATTTTTTCTAGACAGTATTATTTGTTGAGTCAACACTTCGTAGAACCAGCTTAATTTCAATTTTGTGCATAATTGTTGCATATTCTGCTCTGCTGAACAGCTCAAGGTGAAGCAGATTACTACTAAAAAACCTTTCTTAATATTCTGTTTAAGTTTTATTCCATATTCCTTATTAGTTTCAGGTCAGGTCCACTAGATTAGCTCCATTCTATCCCATCCCATTGTAACTCTGGCTGTATGTTTAAAGGTTGTTCTCCTGGTGGAAGGTGACGCCAAGCCCCATGTCTTAAGTCTTGTGCAGCTTCTAACAGGTTTTCTTCAAGGACTGCTTTGTATATAAGTGTATCCATTCTCCCATCAACCTGACCTGCTCTCCTGTCACTGCTGAATGAAAGAAACCCCTCACTATGATGCTTCCACCAGAGGGAACCTTTGTGTCAGGCTTAATGATCCTGTGTCCTGAGGGAATGTCAGGGTTCAGGAAACTGAATACAAAGGCATGTCACACAGAGTTGTAGAAAATAACATCACAATGTTGTTAATTTCAATATTTAGATCGCTAAAGACTGTTTGGATTGCATTAATCATTGGATAATTGCGTTTAATGCAATTGTAGTGGACTAGCATTTATCATGTTAACGATGAGGTAGAGCAGTTGGACATGGTCTTAAAGCAGCCAATTCTCATATCGGAAACGAATGACATTTCCCAAAATGCTGAAGGTCACAAGAGTGATGGAGTGAAAGAAGGGAGGAAGTGGGAGGAAAGAAGGGAATAGGCCAGAGATTCTGATCACAATATTTACCTGTGTTCTCACCATCGGAAGATGTCGCACTGTTGCTCTTTCACATGCAATTCTAATGGAAAAACTTTAAAGATTTCTTCATTTTAATCTGACAAGTTTCGAAAACTGAACCTATTCGCAAAACTTTGTACTCTTTAACTCCTGATCTTTTCGCGTACTTGACTGGGGATGTTTACTATATGTTTTTATTTTCTTTTTATCTGTATATTGATAGATTTCAAATTTATTCCACCAAACGTGTAATTTTCTGAGCTGTGACCTTGTGTCAACATTTGTTCCAGGTCTTCTCATCTGACTGAGCAGCAGAAGCAGCTTCTTCTCGAGCAACAGCAGCAATTCCAGCAGTTCCTCGCCTCACACAACTTCACACCGGTAGTGGCTCTATTCTTATCACCTTATCTTGTACTTCTTTATATAAGGCTGGTTTACATGGCAAGACAATCGTGCCAGTTTCTGCCCCCATCTTTTCCTTTGTAATATAAATTATATTATACTTATACTTTATTAATCTCATATTGGAGAAATGTACGTTTGCATTTAACCCATTCCCTTGGGCAGCAGTGGGCTGCCATCGTGCGGGGCCCGGGGAGCAGTTTGGGGGTTAAGGGTCTTTGCTCAGAGACCCTGAGCGGCAGTCTGTGGGAGTAGGACTTGAACTCACAACCTCAGGATTCCAAGCTCTATGCCCTAACCACAAAAAAAGTTGCCAATTAACCCGTCAAGTTTGCTAAGTCAGCAGCACCAATTCACACAACATATAAATCTCAAGGCACTTTACAGAGACAATTCAGTTAGATCATACAATCAGGTTCGTCCAAAGTTTTCTAAGGAAAACCAGCCGATCACATTGGGTCACTGACTTTGGAAGATACATACCCTCTGAATGTGCATGCATTTTGTTGATAACTCTACAGCAATCCCTGCAGCTTGACGACACGATGTAATGCGAAGGTGTCTCTCTCTGTCTGGATGCCAACCCTTACCATGTCACTGTATTACATTTCTTCTGGTGATTCAGGCTCATCTTTACAAAAGTTGAACAGTCCAAGACTTCTTGCAGCCGTAAAACACATATTATCAACTTGGGTATTAGCTAACAAAAGATCAATTGCTGTCACTATGCAGTTTGGGTGCTAAAAGTCTCAGCTTTGAGAAGAAATGATCCTGCTCTGGCTCACAATGCTGCTTTGTGAGAAGGTGGGTGTTTGTTTCCTGTCGGAGCGTGGCACGGTCAAGACTGGTGCTTCTTGGATGGGGGCAGTTTAAAACCTTCCTACATAGGACAGTAATGACGACTTTTTCAAGAAGATGGTTGCTCCTCAGGGAGCACAATTTATAAGGATTTAGGCATAACATAGAGGAAGGGAGAGCAATATAACATATTTTAAAGGTCAAAAAATTGGTTTTGTGTGATAAAGGCCCCTTAAAACAGAGAACCTCACACTACTCCAGAGATATGGTAAAAATGCACGTTAGCTGGTCAGCTGAGGTTTTCAGAGCTGGATAGGGGAGACACAGGTACCTTATTAACCTTCAGATGCTGAATACCCAAACAACATCTTCTTTTGGGTTAAGTACATTCAGAAGAGGAGGGGGGTGTTCTTAGGTTGTTGGTTTAGGGATGCAGGTAGGCTCTGTGTGTTAGAAAGGTGTTAGTAAGGCTCTATGTGTTGGTCTCTTTTATCAGTTTGTTGCTGGTCTGCTTGTAAATCTCCTGATAATTTCTGTGAAAAGCTTCATGTGTGATCGATGCAGGTGCCAAAGATGTAAAGAAAGCCATGGTTAATAGTTGTGCAGTATGACTTGGTCTGGAAATATTTTCTCACTGAAGCTAAAGTATGTCATTTCTCAATGCAATATTGATCAGACATAATTTTCCGACATAAAACTAGGGTCTGAATATATAGGCCTGCATCTAAAATCTCTGATTTCAGCATGCTGATAGAAAGTCTTCACCTCTTTTTAAAGCTTATTGTACCCATCTGTAAATGATAAATGGGTCAGTTGTTCCCATACCTACAGATGTTGACTGTTAGTGTAATATTACTTTATCAAGTATTTTCTAACATTCCACGCTACAAAATAAGTAATAAAACTATGTCTGATCCACGCTGATATCGTATTGAGTCAATATCTGTATTGTATCGGAAATTAAAAGGTTTTATCAGACATCCCTAGCTGTTACTGACACATCAATAATGGCATTTACTTTATGTTTTGATGGATGATCACTATTTCATTTTTACCCTTTATTATTGAATGCATGGAAACACAACATTTAAAATTTGAAGGGAAAAATCCACTCTGAACTATATGTTCTCAGTCTGAGCATTGTTCTGTTGGATGCAGCTTTATGAATGAATGAAACATTCAGCTTTATTACAAACAAAGAACCTGGTGACGCTCACTTGTTAACTCAGCTGCAGCATTGATCTTGCAGAGCTACTGCTATTGTCTGCTTCTTACTGGCCTCAGTTTACAAACCCTTTTTATTTAGTTGTTGTCATTGAATGCGGGTTGACAGTGACAGAAGTAGCAAACCAAACACCAGGAAGTTGCACAGTGAAGGAGTGGAGCACTAAGAGCAGCTCTCTCCTCCTATATTGAGCATTTTTTCACCCTAGAGATGCAGCAACCCTTATTTGACTTGCTAACTTTTGAAAATCTGCCAGCCTTTTGACAGTAATGCTCTTTGACACTCTCTAATTATAGAAACCATTTTATTTCCTGTGTGAATATGAAGTTTGGTTGCTGCTTCAATAGGAAGAGTGAAGACTTTCATTTTTGTTCAGTCAAAAGAGAAGGAAAAACAGATCCTATTTTAAGGTTGTTACTGTTTAGCTTTACGGTGCATCTAAAAAGAGAACACAGAGAAACAGACACACTTAAGTGGATTTAGAGCAAAAGTTTTAGGTCTATTTTAATTCTGCAGTTTGTTACTGCGCTCTCTCTTTTAATTATGGTAACCTTCGTTTCTAACCTGGCCGCTGACCTCAGTGATCATTGAAAGTGTTTTTGTTTTTTTTTCACTTCTGAGCACAGATCAGTAAACTGCAGTGGTCTCCTCTTCCTCCAGGAGCAGCAGGCAGTGATCTACCAGATGCTGCATCAACAGAGACAGAGGGAGCTGCAGCGCCTCACGCTGGCCGGAGCGCTCAGCTCAGCCCCTAACTCACCCATGATCTCCCAGTCGCCCAACCTGCTGTCCTCAGCGACAGCATCTCCCCTGCAGGGCGGTCCAGGAGGTGGTCTCTTTGGTGTGCAGGACAACGTGCTCCACAAACCCGGGGTGAGTGTCGCTGCAGGATTCTAGCTGTGCTCAGAAACACGCTGCTCGTACTGAGAGCAACTAAAAACGGCCCAACCCATCAGGGTTTTAGTTAATATACTTGTCTACAGTTTATACTAAATACTGTTTAAATTTTAAGACTACACCTGCTACTGCTGGATTTGTTTGATCCTGATTTTTACAGAATTCAAACTACAGACGCCTCAGCTCATCTGTTTGCTTGAAACATTGTTTGGGTTCTTTTGTAAGGTTATGTGAAGTTAGGGATATCTTGTCTTAATGTCTTTGTGACATAGAGTAAGCTCTTTATCAGTCAGGGTTCCTCGGCAGTTTATCACTGTCTGAATGTTTTATCCTTTCCTCCCTGCACCCTTCTTTTTTCTTTCCCTCCATTTATGTATTGCTTTCATTCCTCATTTCCTCCCTTTTCATCCACCTTATTTCTTCCAAACTTCCTTCTTTTCTCACTTATGTCCTCTATTTCCTCCTTTTGCCTTTCTTTCCTTTCCTTCTACTTTCGAGGGTCCATATTTACAGATAGCAGATGGTTTATTCAGAGGGATCATTTAACTTATTATTACCTGCACTTTTACTCAGGGCAGTATGTGATAAAACACATTTTAGTGCTTTTTGTTTTTGTGTTCTAAGTAAAGAGCTCCAACTTCCAATAAGTTTAATGCTCTCTGAGTAAAGGGACCAGAAGTAGACACACCATCATTAAATTAATGAAAAAATAATTGAATCTCCTGCTCCAAAATTTAAAATGCTACATTAATCTTTGTTTCTTTTGGCTTTAGTTCATTAAATCTGAGGCCTCTAAATAATATCCAGTTCATCCAGTTGCCTTCAGAAGTCAATAATCAGAGTCCAGTTGAGGGAATTTTTTTTTATTGTTCTGCTGTTCTTTGAAGACTTCAAAGATTTATTAGGGAATATTAGGGATAATTGCATCCTAGTGATTAGGGCATAGGGCTTTGAATCCTGAGGTTGTGAGTTTGATTCCCCCACTCCCACAGACTGCCACTCTGGATCCCTGAGCAAGACCCTTAACCCCACACTGCTGCCCAGGCACCGCCTCACAATGGCAGCCCACTGCTCCCCAAGGGGATGGGTTAAATGCAGAAAAGTAATTTCCCTCTGGGATTATTAGAGTATATAAAATCAAATCAAAAGTTAGTTAACAATCAACCCCACGAAGACCAAGAAACACTCATAGGGGTGAATTACACAGCAGACATTTGGAAGAAGCTGCTCTAATCAGATGAGACATCTTGGCCTGTATGCTAAGATCTATTTGTGGATAACACTTCACATTTCCCTCCTTGTGCTGGAACATGGTGGTAGCAGCATCATGTAAATACATAAAACTCCTGAAAGAAAAGCTGTTTGTGTCTCCAGAGAGCTTGAGACAAAGATGGAGGATAATTTCTCAATACAAGGAATACAAGCCTTAAATATACAGCCAGTTATATTTAATATATTTATAATGCCTCCAACATTTCTCTTCATAGTTGTTGTTTTGAAATGTATCAATACCTTGTCTAATGTTCACAAATAGAAATTAAAAGGTTAAACAGCAGTTTTAGGTGTTTTATCAGACTTTAGACTTGTTCCACTCCAAAAAGAAGCACTTTAGAATTAAAAATAGAATAGAAAATCCCTTTATTGTCCCACAATGGGGAAATTGTGGCAGAAAAAAGAGACATATGTAACAACATCCTGATGTTTTTTTTCCCCCTCAGACAGGAGAGAAGCCAGGAGACAAGAATGGATGATCCCGTAGCTTCTTGTCCAGTTCGGATGACAACATCCTGCCGCAGTCGCGGATTTCTGTGAAGATCTGGACTTACTAGACTCTCCGTCTTCTGTCATCGTCTTCTGACAAACTTATATGAATGTAAAACGTGACAATAAGGTGAAGTTTTGTGTGTCGAAGCCTTTTAATATCAAAGGGTTCAATGTTTTTTTTCTTTTTTCTTTTCTTTATTTAGGCAGCTTTTAGAGAGCATGATTATGGTGGTCTCTTCTTTAAATTGCACTAATTTGTTAGCTCAACCAATGGGGGCTGCTTATGAAGCTCATGGCTGCAGGAGCTGGATGAGCTCCTTTTTGTGACGTTTGATCTGAAGGTCTAGAGACTGGCTCTGACTTCTCCAGCCTGCGAGGAAAACAGACTTCTGACACTTCTAGGAACCTCAGCTGTCTTCCTCCATATATATTTCGTCTTCCTGTTTTTTTTTTCTTTTTCAGTTTCTTCTGCATCCTTTGAACCTTTCAGCATCTCGCTGGCACTTATAAAGTATAAGATGTAGTCAAGTTGGTGTGTCGTCTGTGGTGTTTCTCCATGAAGCTAGTTATTACCTCAAACTTTCCGCCCGCTGTCCTCCGGTTGTTTGATTTTGTGCAGCAGCCTTTAGTGGATAGGAACGGCCTCCCTAAAAAAGCTGCGCTGTTCACTCATTTTAATGTAAAAAGACTGGCCGTCAATCGTAGGTGGTAACGGCTTTTGTTCCATCCCATTAGAGTTCCTGCCATCTTTTATATAATTCTAGTTGCTGTCGAGATTAAGCAGATGAAACCAAACATTTGGAACGGAAGTCGTTTTTCCTGAACGAATGTGCACTTTGCATGTTCGGACTTAAGGACGTTTAGTAGGCCACCACAGACTGAAGAGGTTTATGACTTGTATTTTGCACTCTTGTCCTGAAGTTCTTTGTGTTACCTTCCCACATGGATAACTCTTAACTAGCTCTTCTTTTAGCAATACTGGATAGATAATGCCTTAATGAGTAAGGGGTAGATCTACGGGGAGGGGCCCACAGGCCCTGCCCCATCCTCTCGTCTTTGATGGGTTTTGTTTTTATCTCTGGCACATGGAAAGGTTTTTTTTTTAATGGATTGTTTCTAAATAAACTTCTTAGACTCATTTCTACTTTAAATGTGTGAATAACGTTAAAGTGTCAAATCATTTTTCTATTGTGACTTTTGTGTTCAGATTCAGAGCTCTTAAGTTTATTGTTGTGCTTCAGAAGACTGAGAAACGATGATTTGTAGCACATGTTGCAGTCATAGGAAAGAGTTGAGCTCTCAATACAGCAGAGTTTGATGCGTAATGTGACTGTTATCAGCACTGAGATGACAGTGAAACCCCGACTTAGGGGCCGACCTTCTCCCTCCACTCTTGATTCTTCAAGTGTAGCCTGTTTTTCGTTTTACCAAAAGATCCTGTTTCCTTTGTATTTAGTTTCCTAATGGTTCTGTTTGCAAACTGTTATAGTTTGGCTTATTTCAAAGAATCAAGCAGCTTTCTACTTAGAGAGACAGTGCCTTGTAAAAATATTCTTTCCTCTTGAACTTTATCAGATTATCTGAATTCACTAGCAAAACTAATTTTTTTGTTTGTTTTTTTGATAGATCAACACAAAGTATTGCACCAGTGTAATGTAGACGGAAAGAATTAATTGTTTAATTTATTTAATTACTCATTAAGCAATCTGAAAAATGTCTGGCATGCATTTCTATTCTGACCCTTTGAGTTAATGCTGTGTAGAACCTGCTTTTCTTCCGGTTAAATCGACTGGTGTTTTTTGGAGAAAACCTGTTTTGTTCATCTAAAGACAAACATTCTTGTCCATTTTTCTTTTTAAAATATTTTCTTTTCATTTGGAGCATCAAAGTTTTGGCTTTTTTGTGAATATTAGTTGGAACTGCCTGCCCTGCCTGAGCTGTAAATCTCTGCAGCTCTCCCAGCGTTAGCTTGAACCTCTCAGCTGCCCCCTCCTGTAAGTTTATGTGGATAAGGGCCCTCTTCAGATAATGGATTGAACAAAGGTCTGTGAGATTTTCAAAGCTTTGAATATTTTATTTAGAACTAAAATCTCTTCAAAACTTCCCCCCCCTAAAGGACCACACCACTACTGGAGGAGGTAGTAAGTACAGCTTTTTGCAACTTTATCAAAGCTTCTCTGTGCTGTTTTAGAGCCTTGGCGATTTCTGCCCTGGAGTTTTTCCACAATCTGTTAATAGTGATGATATTTATGAGCTAAATCACAGGATGTCTCTAGACGTTTACATTTGCAAACCCTCTCCACATAGTTACAAACTTACCTAGGTGCTCCGTGTGGGAATTCTGTCTGCACAAGGCCCAAAACGACAATCTGGCTGTACGGACTTCGCTGCCGCATCAAGCCTTAACCGAGTTTTAAATTTAAGCTGTGCTCCTCGGTCTTCAGTAAGTTTTTTTTTTTTTCTATGTTCTTTGAAAAACCCTCAGAGACCTTCTCAAAACTGCTCACCTATAGACCAGCACCTATCTACCAATATGTTTACTTTGAGTAAGTTTTTTTCCTATTAATCAGCAGGGAAAATAATTGCATGCCACACTTTTCAGCTGTTTTTTTTTTTTTTTGTGCAAAACAAAATTATAAACTGACTCATATTCTTTCCATTTAATAAAATGCAGCTTTGTGTTGGTCAGTGGCATTGAAATCTTCATTAAAACATGAAGGTCTGTACAATGAAACGTAAAAACGTTTAAGGATCTGAATACTTTTGCCAGACACTTTGTGTACCTGTAGCAGTTACAGATGTTGATTATGATGACTGCAAGATGGAGGTCTGTCATTTAAATGATCTTCCTCTGAGCCTTGAAAATGTTTGGACTCAAAGAGTGGAGCAAAGGTTTCCTGGAGCGGTTTCTCTGTCATGTTGCACTGGGGCCTTTTGAGCCCAAATGTAAATTGTTTTTTTTTTTACATTTGTTTTATTATTATTTTAAATGCCGTTGGGGTAAGACTTGTAAAGTTCGATATGTTTGTGTAAGAACACATTCATTCCTTTTAAGCTTTGAGGTATTGGTAACATATTCATGTTATGAATGTCGTACTGTGTATCTTTTATGTATTGCAACATTTAAGCACCTGGCTCTAGATGAGACTTCAGCTATTAGGATATGAATTGCATGAAATTCAGAAATGTCTCTTCAAACGTATAGCTAAATACCAAGTGATAACTATGCATCATATAAAATGCATTGTTCCCTGAATTAAGAAAGGAAAAAAAATGAAATGAGCACTGAATTATAGGAAGCAAAGCACGTCGACGTCGTTGTACAGTGAATTTGTTGGACAGAACTGAAAGAAACAAATTGACAATATTTCAAAGCCCTGTAAAGTATTTTGATATTTTTGTGTGTAAAATTAAAAGACAACCTTTTTTTGTCAATAAATGTATTTTACTGAGTTGTTTCATGCTGTGTACCGATGTTGATTATTTCTTTCAATTTGCTATGATGTCAGAAAATCTGCTTCACTTACAACCAGTAGATTTGAAGGAAACACAAGTCTTTATTTTATTGATTTTTTTTAAATATCTGTTTAAACAAGATATTTAGTTATATTCTAACACTAGTTTTAGTTCACATTTAACACAAACTGATGTCATACAGATGCATCATTATGAATATAAACAATCAATGTTAGAAAATGAGAGCTTTAAAGAATCATCCACATATTGCAATATTATGTTAATTTCAAGTAATACAAGTTATGAAAACCCCTATTTGGTTAGGGTTAGATGGTGAGGTAAGAAGAAAAATAAAATCTATATGGCTACTTAGCACTTCCTGGGCCTTCATCTCACCTTAGGCGGATCTACGCCACGTTTCTGATGCAGTAATCCATGTAAAAGAAGATCTAAACAATTATTGGGTGCACATACAGCACCATAGATAGACATCACGGTAAACATTCTGTTCATCGTCCCTCTGTATTTTTCTAATTATCAAGCAACCCGTGTTTGTTTCTTTTTATGCAAACATAGTTAACAGAAATACATTTAAAATATTCTGCATGTTACTGAAAGAAACTTAATCAAACCTATTGTTTTATACTGTTCTACAAGCATCACTGAATAACTGTAAACAATTAATGCATAAGAACCTGATCATTTTTAGTGACGGTTATCAAAATACTGTTTGGAATTTGAATTTTACAACCAAATGTTCAGCTCTTTGTCTTCTTGAGTTTTTAGTTTCTTATATTACACAGTTATTAATGTGGTTAAAGGACAATGGTTAACTGTTCATTTCAGTAGGTGAAAAGCTGCTTCCCTATTTTTCTAAAGACATGTCCTGAAATGAACAAAATGAGATGAGGGTAACAATGTGACTTTTTCTGAGATTAAAAAACCACCATAAAAGGATGAAAACTGACCATGAAGTGCAAAAAGGGTTAAAAAAAAATCCCCCTCTAATAGCCAGTATACAGTAAGTATGCATATTGGAAGTTATGTAAAATATATATTTATATTAAAATGAACTCATCACAGCTTTTTTCACCCTTAATGTGACATAAAATCTGCACAGGTAACTTTAAATTCAAACTAAAATCTGTGAGGAGGAAAAACCAAATACCAGTGGTTATATATAAATGTCACACCCACTTATGAGTTCAGAATGAAGAATGATAAAAATCATGTTTAAAAGCAAACAAATCAGTATTTAGTTAGATCATTTAAGGCACATCAGATTAATTTACCTCAAAACAAAATTTAGGTATTTTTGTAGGTTCCACCTCACAGCAAAATAGATGGTACCTATAGAGCTTCCAAAGCATCTGAGAAATCTGTGTCCAAAGATACCAGACAGGAGTACAAAAAATTTTAAGGAATTTGGACTAAAATAATAATAATACATAACTCCTAACTTGTATGTTTGGTTCAAATGCAACGCTGCACATCACCAGTTTGGCAGAAAACTCACAAGGCATGACAGTGGCAGCATTATGCCCTGGGACTGTAACTCTTTACCCAAAGCAGCCTTAATCAAGTTGGGGGAATAATGAACAGTTCCAAATATGTGTTATTGCTGGCTTAAAACCCTTATGCTTCTCCAAGAAAACTGATTCAGAAGAGGAACCTTACCTTTCATGGCAATAACAAAAGAAAACTACCATCAAAATCAATAAATGAATATCCTCCCCTGAGTAAGATTGCATTTTGGAAAGGATCCACCCTGAGCTCATAAATATGATAATTGGAAATGGGATTTGAAATCTGACTGTCAGGGTTCTGCCCTCTGTTTAAGTTTATTTTTAGTTTCCTTGTATTTGTAGTTGTTTTCTAGCAGTGTTTAGTTCTTGAGTTACTCTCTGTCGCCCCCTTGTGCTTGTTTCTTTTCCCCTTGGCTTCCCTCTAGTTAGTTCTACTCACACCTGCTCCATATTCAGCTCATTAGCCCATCCTTTGTTCTGTTCCCCATATATACACCACCTCTGCAGTCAGTCAGTGCTGGTTTGTTTGTTGATTTGTTGCTTCCTCGTCTCTGGATCCCCACGTGATCTGATTTTTTTATTTCTCAGTATTTTGGATTTTTTGCTTCTACCCCTTGCGACCCCGTTTGGGATAAGCAGGATGGATGGATGGATGGATGGATGGATGGATGGATGGATGGATGGATGGATGGATGGATGGATGGATGGATGGATGGATGGATGGATGGATGGATGGATGGATTTTTGTCTCTGCTGCCTTGGACTATTAAATCTACAAAATAAAATTAAAAAAGATTTCCCTCTGAAAACAAGGTTTCACTTAGTGTTTTAAACTTGAGGTTAGATTAGAGAGTGAATCAGTATACTTAAAGCAAAATAAAAGTGGCTAGACAACAGAACCTTAAACCAATGTGTTTATAAGCCAGACACCTTGTCTACTTTTTAGGAAGCTTGCAGTTAGAATGGCTCAGGTTATAGTATGTTATCTCTAGTAATGATGCTATGTGCTTAAACTGCTGGAGGATATAAATACCACTTTCCATCATTCATCTTCATTCTGTGTTTACTTGGTTTGTCTATTTCTCTCTCTCCTTAAACCCCCAGTCTGCCTGGCAGAAGCTGCTCACACTAAGCCTGGTTTTAATGGAGGTTTCTTCCTGTTAAAAGTGAGTTATTCCTGTCCACTATCGCTGCATGTATGCCACATGTGAGGGATTGCTGTCAGTCAATGAGTCTATGCAATCATAGACTCAATCTTTAAACCCATCTGACTGTATGATGTGATTTAACTGTCTTGTGAAGACATGTGTTGGTGCTAAATAAATAAAATTGATTTTAAATCCATGGAGAAACTAATAAAATAGTATTGCCAGATTAGTAGTCAGTCATCTGCTAAGCAAGAACCAATGAATACCAAGTAATGATTTAAAAAATCAGATCACTCCATGCAATCGTTTTTAGTGGGTGTAAACCGCACAATAAGGCTGTCAATGAAATGAATGAGGCAGTGGAGGAAGAGGAGGAGCAGGAAGGCAGAGGAGGAGGAGTCTGACCTGAACTTCTACCCAAGAGCTCTCAGTTTCAACAAAGCGTCTCTCTGCTACTGAAAAACAAGATCAAAAAGGAGATTTTTACCAGCTGATAAGTTCGCCAGGATGAACACAGCCCGGCTGATCTGTGTAGCGGGGACCTTGAGACGACCTCCTCCTCTGCCTTCATCTGTTTCCTCTTCCTTCTCAGTGAGTCCTTCTACAGCACGTCTCTGGGTTTTCTGTGACCCTCTGTGTCAGAATCATTATTCGTGTAAATTACAGTTAAATGCTGTCTTTTTGGTGTTAACACGGTTTGTTTTTTCTATGAAAAGGGCGCTCCCTTCCTCTCTCCCTTCACCTTTGGCACCACTTTAGATAAAAACCTGCTGAACATGTGCGGGAGTCAATCCTGCAGGGAAACTTTGACATCCAGGTGTTTCCTGAGAAAAAAAAAACTTTAGATATATTAATGTTTGCAAGTCTTATGCAAATAAAACTACATTATTAAACAGTGGCTTTTTGTATAACACCCTCCCATGTTTAAAGGTCTGGTAATTGTCATTTGAAACATGAAAACATTTTATATGTTGTTCTCTTTTTCATGGAAACATTTGAATCCAGACTATATACAACAAAAATCAACTGAAACAAACAGAGAAATATGTCTTTTTACTGCAGAACATATTGGAAAACTACGGGAAAGGATTAGGGTCACTGAAAAAGTGAAAAAATGTTAACTAATTTTTTTATGTTATTTCAGTATAATATTACGGAAGCCCAGAGCGGTTGTAGTCAAGTTTTTTTTTTCCCTTGGCCTTCTCAAGATAACGACATAACTACCATATCTTAACAATTAAACCATTGTTTTCTCAAGATAACAAGATCATCGTCTCGTTATCACGAGAAAACAGTTATTGATCTCTCAAATAACGAGATGATTAACCTGTATGAGTAATAAATGAGGCTGACCAACAGCCCTAGATTCCCACAATGCACGTGCACAAACAATCATTTTTTTAAATTTCCTTTTTCTTTTCACTCATTATCAAGTCATGGTGGATGATTGGCTTGCATGGAATACAGTAGAAACAAATTTGACTGTTTTTCAATGAAAATCTTTAATCTGGACTTAGTTGTAACACCAGGGCTTTTTTTTTTAGAAAACACCTGGAGCATAGGTCTAATTGCTTATGAATCAGAAGTGGAAGCAAATCCTCAAACCAATGACGTTGTCTCATTACCTAAATGTTAAACACAGGATTATTTACAGAATAACACACAGACTGCCATGATTTATACCTATAAATCCTCTCCGCTGTTATTGAAGGATGTAATCAGTCTTAACCCACACCAATCATCTCATTATAACAAAAAAGAAATGGCATTCGTTATATTTAGATAATGAGAAAATGTACTAGTTTTCTCGGGAAAACCACAGTGAAAAAGTATCTGAGGGACACAACCGCTGTCTGCTTCTGTATATGTCAAAAAAAGTCAGAATTCTGACTTTTTTCCCATAATAAACTGAAATAGATTTTTTAAATCTTTTAACTTTTTCATTGGCTCTAATTCTCTCTGTAGAATCAAATTAAATGAAGTGAATCCGAAATAGTGTTTTACATTTCTCATTATGACTGTGTTTTTGTCACCTATCTCTCCTCCTCCAAATCATAACCTACCTGTCCCCTTTAGTGTGACATAAAGAAAGTGTCCAACCATGAACAGTCAGGGTAATCAATGCTCCCACCATCATAGCTCCTCCTCATGGCTCCGCACTGGAACACAGATTTAGAGGTTTTAAAAGGAATTGTGACCAGGATATCTGCTGTCTTTTCCTCCAGGTCCAGAGGAGCCTACAGTCCACTCAGCCTGTCCCCGCTGCCAGGCTCCCATACAGGGTGAAGCTGTCTGCTGGGAAACGCTATGCCTGGTGTGCTTGTGGGCACAGCAAGAGACAGGTGAGACAGGAACGCTGAGCTTGGTTCTTTTTAGGCCGAAGCACTTCCAGAGCTCTCAGCTCCCCCACCTTTATAAAATCAACTCTATCACACATCGATGTGCTCTACATCTATCTAGCTCTGAAGTTGAACCACTGTCCCTAGAGCTGGTTCTTGCTCTGCTCTTTCAAGTCCCGGTGTCTTTAAAAAATGCATTTAGGGAAGGATTTGAGCTATGAACTAACAAAGTATGCAGCGTTCCATATCACTAACAATAATACAGTCTGAGACATGAACATTCAATCCCACTAAGACTGCAGGTTTAAAACGTATGCCTGGAATTCTTTTGAATTATCTTTAAGTCATCTAATCAGGGGTGAATATGCACCCTTCAGTAAGCCACAGGCCACAACACACAAAGGGATTTGCATATTTATTCTGAATTTATTTCATATATCAGGAGCATTTTTGGTTCATGGTTTGCTGGTGGTGGTTTATGAAAGCCTGTTCATGCTGATGTCTGTCAAACTGAACTCTACAAAAACGCATTTCAACAAAAGACAAAAAAAATCCTCTTTTCTTGGTTAAAGTGGCATCAATAGGATTATTTCCAGTTCTTCAAGCACTTTAGTTTTTTTGTATGAATCTATATTTCATGCTTGTAAATTCTGCACACTAGTAGATAGCTTTTCCACTGCATGTATGGGAATTTCTATGTAGTAGCTGAAGAATACACAGCCCTGGCAAGGAAAATACATTAATTTAGCCTTTTTTTATTATCTTGCTTTTCAGCCTTTCTGCGACGGAGCTCACCGATCAAAAGCACCAAATATATCTCCTCTCCTTTTTACCTCCGACAAAGACAAGGCGGTGATGCTCTGTGCCTGTAAGCAAACCAAAAGCTCCCCGTACTGCGATGGATCGCACTTCAAGGTTATCATTAGGGATACGGTGAAGTATGTAAAACGTCTGTTTAAATGATCTGCTTTACCTCAGCACAATCATGCTGTCTGACATTGTGTCACTGGTAAATAATATTTGATAAAATAAAAAATGCTGCCTGTCTTTATTCAGTTATTTTTCCCCCCCATAGCCTCGTTCTACAGAACATAAAAAAGGATAATAAGTTTAAAATATTTTATCTGTTCTTGCTGGGCACCAAGGGACGTCTTATATTCACCAGAAAAGCAGAGTATGAGGAATTGTACATTTATATAAATGTTCAATTCAATTCAAAGAATAATCAATACATGAAATACATTGTCGTTTATTATGCTGTTGTAAGTAAAACACTGCAAAAAGCAAACAAATGAGTAACATTTTCTTTAAATAAGTGTATTTGCACTTGATTTTGTAGCTCAGTAAAACAAACCGCCAGTGGAATACATGTTCTTTAAATTAAAATAAGAAAATATATCCATTATCTTATTTGAAGTGCGGTATATCTAATTCCCTTATTGAGGGCCAAAATACTAATTCCATTGGCAGATTATTTCAACCTTGAGTCCCAAAAAACGGCCAGGGCAACTTTTGATTTATATTTTATGGAGAAACAAGTAGCATACCAGATATGTGCAAGATTCAAGAAATAAATATGCAGGAAAAGACTTAAATTTAGAAAGATTTATTTGTCATTTTGTTTGTGCATGCTCTCACAGATATTTAATAGGTGTTCCCTCCCAGGAGCGGGTACAGGGTTGTGCTTTTTTTTTTTTATTCGCAAAAATCCTCCACTATACCTTTAAGTAATTCATTATAAACTGATTTTTTTTTTCAAAAGAAATATTAAATCAAACAACCATAAAATTGTTGGGAAATTCTGGAAATTTTGACCTAAATCCTCTGATTAGATTATCATTTGGTAAATTGAACATTTAACATACTGAATCTTTAATGATGAATAGATTTTTGATTATATTATTACAGCAATGGGTCAGTCCAAAAATGGGCTGGAATTTAACTAGCAGCACTTCGTCTTAAACCATCTGATTGCAGTATTATGGTTTAAGCAGGGACACATAGCTGTGGCAAATCCAAAAACTGTTGAGCCCCACAGTCGATCCATAACAACAAAGGAAGCACTGGAGGATGTAAGAGTAGCTGCTGGTATCTCATCTGTTTTTTCCAGAGGTGTCCTTACTTACATAGAAATTTTAACTATCTATACTTTACTGGAGTAATAATTTTTTAAGACATCCCTTTACTTCTATTCTATTCTATTCATTTTTTTTTTTTTTTTTTTTGCATTTATCTCTTCTTTCTACTTCTTACATTCTTAAATATAGACTTGTTAGTTTTATTACATTTAAGCTAATTTTTATAATGGCCAGTTGGTATAAAAAAAAAAAAACAATAAAAAAAACATCAAAATAATTTGTTTCTTACAGACAATTAATTCTATGTGTTTGGATTCGGTACTGCACCAACTTGTTGTTCGCCACATACAGATAAATACATTTTCAAGATGCAAAGTTAGATTTGAAACTGTTAAGATTAGTTATAAAAGTTATCTTCCAGAATTGTAGTAAAATGTTCTTCTAACAGGGTAATGGAGTAAAGCATTTTAACATTTTTTTTTCAGACTTACTTTTACTTTTATACATTAGGTAGTTTTAAAATTGGTGCTTTTACACTTTTACTTGAGTAAAAAGCTTAAGTTGATACTAAAAAACTTTTCAAACAGAAGATTTATACTTCTACTTGAATAATAAACATGAATACTTTTGAAACCTGTGTTTTTTTTTTTTTTTTTCCAGAATTCATGATTTTATCTTTGAAAAGGGTACAGCAAGTGTAAGTTTTTGTGTTTTCTCATGTTACCCGGGAAGTTCAGTTGTGTAGAACTAAACCTGAGCGCTAATTAGACAGAAAATCTAAAAATGTTCATGCAAGGGTTGCATTTATTTCCATCTGTCTAAGAGTTTAATCATATAAAAAAATTCTTGACAGAAAGAAAAAAGTTAAATAAGACCTAATTATATTTATAGCAAATATGTAATAATATTTTCTTTCAGATATATTAAAGGTTTGGGGTGGAAAAGGTGTTGGAATAAACAATTTAGTTTCTGATTCCTCCTTTTCATTAAAATATAAGGGTCTAAGCAGTTAGAATATAGAAAACATCCAAATGAACTTGGTAAGATTTTCTTTAATTGTTTTTCTGGTAAACATGAATAATAGAAAATATGTCCGCATCAATGATGCTTTCTGAATTTTAATGTCTGTGCACTTCAGTGCTTCCATCCTGTGAACTCTCTTCATGGAAATAACTTTCTTTAAGATTTTTTTCCCCATATGTTACCGATTAGATCTAGACATTTGACACCAGTACATATCTACATACATAAAACATTTATCAAGTTGCAGAAGAACTGTCAGCTCTCGCCTCCGGCTAGTTGTTTATATAATGCTACATCTCCCGGTCAAAATGATACAGCGGGATCAGAAATACTGTCACTAATAGAGGAATATGAGGAATTATGAGATATAATAATGAACTCACATCCTACTATTACAAGACATTAGAGAATATTACACAATATAAAGTTGGACACTTAAGGAACAATCAATCTATCTAATAAGACATAGCAGATGAACATGAAATGGTTGGAAACAAATAGGAAGCACTTCACTATAAGATATAAGAATTATGTGATCAATCTCTGAAAATATGGAATATTAAATCAGCTTTAAATAGAATGTAAACTTCTGCATGGCCCTACCCTGCCTCTCATGAGTCATTTATTTAAACAAACTCTAACATAATCTACATGAGCTGTAACCAGATTTGAGATTCCTCATGAAGGTTTCTTCAAACATCCAGCTTTCTTTCGAAGAGAAATTCATCATGCCAAAATAATTAAACTTTGCATCATGCAAAAAGTTAATATATTGTACACACAGGAGGTTCATGCTGTATTGATATATTGAGTTTTATATATTGGCTATATGTTCCAGTGTAGCCCTCTATTCATTATTTTTAAAATACCATCTATCCGCCAGGGGCACGGTGGTTCTGGTGCTTATCTCCAGCACTGGTGAGAGGCCTGCTAGACCCTGGACAGGTTAAATACAGTCATCACACTCATCATTGTAATATTCAAGATAATCAAGATGTCTAATATATATATATATATATATATATATATATATATATATATATATATATATACACACACACACTCACCGGCCACTTTATTAGGTACCCCATGCTAGTAACGGGTTGGACCCCCTTTTGCCTTCAGAACTGCCTCAATTCTTCGTGGCATAGATTCAACAAGGTGCTGGAAGCATTCCTCAGGGAGTTTGGTCCATATTGACATGATGGCATCACACAGTTGCCGCAGATTTGTCGGCTGCACATCCATGATGCGAATCTCCCGTTCCACCACATCCCAAAGATGCTCTATTGGATTGAGATCTGGTGACTGTGGAGGCCATTTGAGTACAGTGAACTCATTGTCATGTTCAAGAAACCAGTCTGAGATGATTCCAGCTTTATGACATGGCGCATTATCCTGCTGAAAGTAGCCATCAGAAGTTGGGTACACTGTGGTCATAAAGGGATGGACATGGTCAGCAACAATACTCAGGTAGGCTGTGGCGTTGCAACGATGCTCAATTGGTACCAAGGGGCCCAAAGAGTGCCAAGAAAATATTCCCCACACCATGACACCACCACCACCAGCCTGAACCGTTGATACAAGGCAGGATGGATCCATGCTTTCATGTTGTAGACGCCAAATTCTGACCCTACCATCTGAATGTCGCAGCAGAAATCGAGACTCATCAGACCAGGCAACGTTTTTCCAATCTTCTATTGTCCAATTTCGATGAGCTTGTGCAAATTGTAGCCTCAGTTTCCTGTTCTTAGCTGAAAGGAGTGGCACCCGGTGTGTAGCTGCTGCTGTAGCCCATCTGCCTCAAAGTTCCACGTACTGTGCGTTCAGAGATGCTCTTCTGCCCACCTTGGTTGTAACGGGTGGTTATTTGAGTAACTGTTGCCCTTCTATCAGCTCGAACCAGTCTGGCCATTCTCCTCTGACCTCTGGCATCAACAAGGCATTTCCGCCCACAGCATTACCGCTCACTGGATGTTTTTTCTTTTTCGGACCATTCTCTGTAAACCCTAGAGATGGTTGTGCGTGAAAATCCCAGTAGATCAGCAGTTTCTGAAATACTCAGACCAGCCCTTCTGGCACCAACAATCATGCCACGTTCAAAGTCACTCAAATCACCTTTCTTCCCCATACTGATGCTCGGTTTGAACTGCAGGAGATTGTCTTGACCATGTCTACATGCCTAAATGCACTGAGTTGCCGCCATGTGATTGGCTGCTTAGAAATTAAGTGTTAACGAGCAGTTGGACAGGTGTACCTAATAAAGTGGTCGGTGAGTATATATACATATATAATATATATATTTGTATTTTATATATATATTTTTTTTCAGTTATCAGTACTTTAAGTATCTTACACACCTTAAAGCCTTGAAAGAGAAGGATTTTTTTTCATAATAATCCGATTATTCAATACAGGTTGCAGAGGTTTCAATAACAAACATGTTTCTTTAAAGGCAAGACGCTCACCTGACACCTGGCTTCTGATTGGTTGAGAAAGTGACACGTGATTCCCGAGCTCCACTCTCCTCCAATCAGCTCAGTGCTTTCTACACGACGTTTAATCGACGCTGTTTTGATTTTGCCCTTCTTGTCCGATGGTGATTGCTTTTTATCTGACTCATGAGCTTTTTCTGACAACATGATCGGCCTTCTCACCAAGTTCCAGCCCACGTGGATAAGTCTAACCTTCAGACAGCCGCGGACAGGAGCTACGGCGGCTCCAAAGGTACAATTACATAATTCGGCTTTGCTTTTTTTTTTGTATAAAGACTGCTGTCCTAAATGACAAAATAGCTAAGATAATGCTTCCTGCGAGTGTTCTTATTAGTACTTGATGATGGTCAATGATGTCAGTGAACTACACAATACCAATAACCAATCAAATCATTAGTTTCCTGTATATTATCTTTGTGTAAGGCAGAATCATTCTGTGAGTTTAAAGCTTTTTT